TGGAGGTGCTCCTTCAGACTGGCAACTGTGGAGGTGCTCTTTCAGTCTGGCAACTGTGGAGGTGCTCCTTCAGTCTGGCAACTGTGGAGGTGCTCCTTCAGACTGGCAACTGTGGAGGTGCTCCTTCAGACTGGCAACTGTGGAGGTGCTCCTTCAGTGGAGGTGCTCCTTCAGTCTGGCAACTGTGGAGGTGCTCCTTCAGTCTGGCAACTGTGGAGGTGCTCCTTCAGACTGGCAACTGTGGAGGTGCTCCTTCAGTCTGGCAACTGTGGAGGTGCTCCTTCAGTCTGGCAACTGTGGAGGTGCTCCTTCAGACTGGCAACTGTGGAGGTGCTCCTTCAGTCTGGCAACTGTGGAGGTGCTCCTTCAGTCTGGCAACTGTGGAGGTGCTCCTTCAGACTGGCAACTGTGGAGGTGCTCCTTCAGTCTGGCAACTGTGGAGGTGCTCCTTCAGACTGGCAACTGTGGAGGTGCTCCTTCAGTCTGGCAACTGTGGAGGCTGGCAACTGTGGAGGTGCTCCTTCAGACTGGCAACTGTGGAGGTGCTCCTTCAGACTGGCTGGCTGTGGAGGTGCTCCTTCAGTGCCCCTGGCAACTGTGGAGGTGCTCCTTCAGTCTGGCAACTGTGGAGGTGCTCCTTCAGTCTGGCAACTGTGGAGGTGCTCCTTCAGTCTGGCAACTGTGGAGGTGCTCCTTCAGTCTGGCAACTGTGGAGGTGCTCCTTCAGTCTGGCAACTGTGGAGGTGCTCCTTCAGTCTGGCAACTGTGGAGGTGCTCCTTCAGTCTGGCAACTGTGGAGGTGCTCCTTCAGTCTGGCAACTGTGGAGGTGTGCTCCTGGCAACTCTGGAGGTGCTCCTTCAGTCTGGCAACTGTGGAGGTGCTCCTTCACTGGCTGTGCTCCTTCAGTCTGGCAACTGGAGGTGCTCCTTCCTTCAGTCTGGCAACTGTGGAGGTGCTCCTTCAGTCTGGCAACTGTGGAGGTGCTCCTTCTGGCAAACCTTCAGACTGGCAACTGTGGAGGTGCTCCTTCAGCGGCAACTGTGGAGGTGCTCCTTCAGACTGGCAACTGGAGGTGCTCCTTCAGACTGGCAACTGTGGAGGTGCTCCTTCAGTCTGGCAACTGTGGAGGTGCTCCTTCAGACTGGCAACTGTGGAGGTGCTCCTTCAGTCTGGCAACTGTGGAGGTGCTCCTTCAGTCTGGCAACTGTGGAGGTGCTCCTTGCTGGCAACTGTGGAGGTGCTCCTTCAGTCTGGCAACTGTGGAGGTGCTCCTTCAGACTGGCAACTGTGGAGGTGCTCCTTCAGTCTGGCAACTGTGGAGGTGCTCCTTCAGTCTGGCAACTGTGGAGGTGCTCCTTCAGACTGGCAACTGTGGAGGTGCTCCTTCAGTCTGGCAACTGTGGAGGTGCTCCTTCAGACTGGCAACTGTGGAGGTGCTCCTTCAGTCTGGCAACTGTGGAGGTGCTCCTTCAGACTGGCAACTGTGGAGGTGCTCCTTCAGTCTGGCAACTGTGGAGGTGCTCCTTCAGTCTGGCTACTGTGGAGGTGCTCCTTCAGTCTGGCAACTGTGGAGGTGCTCCTTCAGTCTGGCAACTGTGGAGGTGCTCCTTCAGACTGGCAACTGTGGAGGTGCTCCTTCAGTCTCAGAAGTCAGAAGTCTCGCATCAAGCTCTCTGTAAACACGCTTGCGTGACTTGGGAGAGCACTACAGTTGAGCCGAGACGTTTAGCTTTGTCTACGGCTTCGATTTTCTTGATGTTGCAGATGAAGAGGAAGATGTTTGGGCTTTGGCAATAAGGTTTTTCAGCTTCAGGTGCCACCCCTCGAGGTGGTTGTTAGTCCGCAGGCCAATATTTCCATACTGTGTCCAGATCCGTAGCGGAAAACGTGCCTCATAGTCCACCCATGTACTCGTGACGTAGACGTTGAAGTTCCTGACCTTCTCTGTCTCCGGGCCTTTGTCCATGGCAGCGATCCAAGTGTCCTGAGCCATGTCCCGTGGAAGTAGTGGAAGGGCAGCTGCTCTCCTGACATGGGTCTGCACCTGTGGGATGTTCTTGTAGTTGTTTGTCAGTCCTTTCTCAGCCACATTTCGCCACACAGCCTGAGTGAAGTGGAAGAATCATCCACGCACTTCACAATCCTCATAGATTTCCTCCACTGCCCTGATGGCTGACACCTCAAAGTCTATCTGGATTTCACTAGGCTCAAGTTCACCCCCTACTTTGTCCCTAACAACATCATTCAACAACGTGAATAGTCTGACATAGGGAGCCCTCGTACGATTTGGGAACAGGGCATGCACACATGGATACATATCCCCATTCACCATACAGTGAATGACATACAGCTGGTCCCATAGGGCTGGTGCAACATAGAAAGTTCCATCCATATACCACTTGTCGGCACTGTGGAGCATGTTTAGCATGTCCTCTAAAGCAAAAGCCAGTATCTTGTCGTCGTCACCATCATCAATGCACAAGAATTGCTGTCCATCTTTTGTCTGAGTCCATGATCCTTCGAGTCAGCTAGAGACTTGGGTAGGTTTGGTAGAACTTTGCTTCTGTGAGGGAGGACTTTACACTCGAGAACGATCGTACAGACGCTGGGTCAGCAACCTCGGACAACTCTTCATCGTACAGCTGCCAAATGGATGTGACGTCCTCTTGTACACGCTGACGCAGTCTGCTAAGGAGTCGAATCTCATCTTCAGATTCCACTGGGACATATTTGTGCGGTGTTGTTGATTTCATGAAGTCTCCAGTTGTAGAACAGCGGCCTTTGCATTCAGAATGTACACACTTCCAATGTGTTGTGGTCTGTTGTCTGACGTTGAGGCGATATCGGTACCCAGCAAAGAAACCTTGCTGTCCTCCTGCTTGAGAAGTGATGAATTGAACGCGTTGAACATTTGCCATTGTGTGATGGATACAGCTGGTTCCCCTTCTAATTTATTAGGAGTTTAATTAACTGAGAAGATGAGATCTTCTCAACAATTTCGTCCTTACCATGTTTTTCGACATATTTTGACAAAGTCAGACAAAGCCTGTAACACCATAGTTAAAACAAGCCTACCCAACTTGATCAAATAGGATTAAGTTAATCCTGCTTAGGTGGTTACAATATAAGCATGCTAACTGCTTCCCAAAACAAAATAAAACAATATCATTGTACTTGTCTTGTAGTCTTTATTGGATGAGAAGACTCAAAACATACTATACACAGAAGTAGATGCACAGATATATACTAATATAATCCCCCTAATTATCCCTTACTCCAAACGAAGCACCCCTTCTTCATTGATACTCGGGCTGTTCCATTATTCTACAGGGCAAAAAAGTCTTTTCTTATGCTGCCTACAATGTTTTTGTTGGCAGTTTGGGATGTAGGCAGTATGGGACCTAACCTATGCTGTACTTTAACAATGAAACTTATATGGGTATTTTTGGCCAATATGGGCTTTCACAATTTGCAAGAAACCACCATAGCCATCATACTATTTATAATATTTTGGAACAGTATACAAATAAATGGAAAATTATCTGTTAACATAAGTTATCTTTAGGTGGATCTGTTGCCTATGAAGAAAAATGTTTTTGAATGGCAAACAATTATCTATTGTTAATCACTATGCATATCTCGGACTAAACAAGAGTCATCAGAAGATGACAAATCCCCCCGGCCTCTACAAATATGAAAGAGCCAATCATCTGACAGTTACTTAAAGTTGAACTTCATTTTTTTAGACAAAGTCCAAAACATTTCCATGGAAACCAAGAAAAATAGATATGACAAAAATAGCAAAAGGCACCACTTTAGGTTCTGTTTGATATATCTGCCAAGTTTTGTTGAAAGATATTAAACGGTTTTCGAGTTGTGCTCCGGAAACAAAGTCCACTACTCCCTTTTAAGACTCAGTCTAACACGTTTCCATGGCAACCAAGAAAAATAAAAATGACAAAAATCTGTTAATAGTCAAAGGCACCACTTTAGGTTCTGTTTGATATATCTGCAAAGTTTTGTTGAAATATATTTTCAAGTTATGCTCCAGAAACAAAATGATTATGGACGGATGGACAGTCGGACAAGGCGTCGACTATATCCCCCCGCATTACATGCCGGGGGTGGGGGTTGGGGTGGTGGAGGGAATAAAAAGAGTGTTATAAATCTGAAATCACATGCTAAGAAGGCTCTTATCATATTCATGTCAGTTTCCCAGAATTTTGGAATTTTAACCCGGAAAACATGTTTCATATTGTTTGATTCACAAATTCAACCGATTGTGCTTCATAGAAAAATATGTCTGTTATGTAACCCATCTGTAAAAGACGAAATTCACATTATGCTGATTTAGGAAAACAATACATGCCAAATAAATATCTGTAAAAATATTCTTCAAGTGACTTTGTTTCCATTCTGTCCTCCAGAAATGAAAATGTAATCTAGGGCTTAATGTAAAACATGCTGTTATGCTTAAAAGCAATCTCTTATCTGAACTGTAATTTATTTCATGAAATGTCTGTAACATGTGCCGCATCTTTGATTTTCACTACTGCCATAACTGATTAGCAACATTCTGAGTCTTATTGAAAACATATAAAAATTCCCTGACTTTCAGAGAAATGCCAAATTCCCTGACCTGTGGGAGCCACATATTAGCCACAAAATGTGCCAGGACAAAAATATCAAAATGTTAGTGACCTGGGTTTAATGCTGCTTTGAAGCAATTCAAATAATACACCACCATCAGCTTGACCAATGGCCTCAAGTGATGCACGTCTTAAGACGTAATCAGGGCGAACAACAATTTGCTGAGAGTTTGTTCAAGCAAATGTTATGTTTGTAATATATATGAATATTGTTTCTAGGGTAATATTTTCTTTTTGTATTTAGAGCAACCATTTAAGCCAGATTTCAATACCTCCAAAATCCTTTGACAGACATGAAAAGGAATTCAGCCAAAGCTCTCTCACTCTATTTAACAAAGAACAAGCCAACATTTTTCATAAAGTATTGAAGTAACCTTTAATCAAGTTAACAAATGTCAGTATAACATGAAATCAGGTATTTACACAATCCAAAACAAATGATACAATTCTATGTATAATGTTATAATACATTGTTTACAAGCAGCAGCTGTGTCTTTGTACAAATGTACTCCCTCAGTGAGTTGATTGTTTGGCCACTTTCAGCATTATTCCAGCAATATCACGACTGGAAGATAGCAGAGATGGGCACATTGTAACCTTGTAAGGAATCGAACCCACGCCTTCAATGTGATGAACACTTTAACGACTAATCACATCACATGAGTTACCCATGATGGGATAGAAACAATTTTTTTCTCTTAAGAATTATTGCATGATATAAAAAATAACAAAGCATATGAAACATTTCATTAACAAAACTACTCTGGGATCCATTGGCTGAACGATGAGGTCAATGGTGATGAGGATTCCTCGCAACACCTTCAGTCAAAAACGGGGCAGTGGGTAATGTGTTCGCTTGTCATGCTGAAGATACAATACGTGAAGCACATTTCTGGTATCCCCCGCCGTGATATTGCTGAAATATTGCTATAAACGACGTAAAACTAAACTCACTCACTCAGTCTAACACAGACAACCTCAACAGATATCCAGTTGTAAACTTTATGACCTGGAGGTTTGAACTTTATGGTACATGTACGACAGTGAAGTCACACATTGTACCCATGTGGGGAATCGAACCTGGGCATTTGGCGTGACGTGTGAATGCTTTAAACACCAGGCTACTCCACCGCCCAGGTAGTCCGAAAGAAGTTCCCCAAAGATCGAGCTAATATTGGTGATGTTTGAGAAAGATGTTTAAATTTAGATCCAACTGTAGCTACATACTGACCATCAATCATTTTTGTTACATGGTCAGCTTTACAATACCACTAAAGGTCAGACATGTCACATATAACACTGGTCCAAAATAAGCTGTGGATTAGCTGGAATTAATTCATGGTGCCCATCCCTCCAAGGCATCCTGGGTCGCTCTTCTGTCCTGAAACCCACACAGATAAGTCACAGACTCAACACCATGACAGCTGAATTCACACAGGTGTTGTCCGTGGTGGTCCAACACGTTGCCTTCTCTCAGTCTCCAGCTGTTTGGCTCTTGTCCAGAGGTCAAGGGTGGGGCTGGTCTGGCAGTTGCTAAGGGTCAACAACCTGTAGGACAATATTTACAAACCATGAGAAAAAGACACATGTGACAGTACAGGCCTATTCCAGTGTTTTCTAATATTCCCATTGGCTGGCATATCAAGAAACATTAGTCATTATTTAGTTGGGCATTCAAGTATTATGGCGGGGAGTTCTGATGTTACCTGACGAGACTCAGCAGGCTGTGGAAGTCGTCAACTGTCATACACTTGGGGTTATCTTTCCGCGACGTCACAAAGTCGTCTTGGATGAGCTGCAAACAATAGCATGCTGGTAACCTTACGTTCATAAAACTCTGCTTTTTCTTCACAGTGAGTGAGTGAGTGAGTTGGGTTTGTTGACCATGAACAGTGTACTTTATACACTTTATAGACAGGTCTCGGACATTGGTAGATAACATGAGTATGGGTATGCTGCTGTCAAACCTAAACACCTATTCTGGGCATTGTGTTGTGAGACAGGATATACTTGTGGAGGGGAAAGCCTGAACTTGGTTGCAAATTGAACATACACATCCTACATATGCTACAAGTATGAGGGACGTTCGAAATCAATTGATAATTTAAGAGAATAGGGCTATAGATGAAAAAGGCACCATGAACACGCATCAGTCCAGGCTTATCAGTGCAACAATCTTCAGAGACAATAATTCCGATTTTACCATGTTTGACACATGTTCCATTAGAAACATTAATAAAATCTGAATCTACATCATCATTTTCCCAGGTATAAGCTTGTTTAACCCGAGCCCTCTTGTCGACCATCTACAACTGTTGTTGAGCCATGATACCATGCTGACCTTCTGCAAGTCGTCCGAGATGGAATACTCCAGCTGCTTGGTGAGTGTGAAGTAGACTCGTAGCTTCCCCAACAACTCATCTGTCAATCTCGCATCAAGTTGACTAAAGTAAGACCTCAGATCATCAGGATTGTGACGCTTCTCCAGCTTTGTGTGACAGTCTTTCTGAAAGCAGAACAGACATTTCATGTGGTTTACAATCACGATGTACTGCATGAGTAATGTCCAAACTTAATTTAGTTTCATTATTTCAATAACATTGAAAATAAAAACCAAAAATGCTGTCATGCGATTAAACCCCACTCATACATGTACTCATACTGGTGATTCATCAAAATGTGAAACTTGTATGCCATACAAAATACTAGACTGTACTCGAAATACTTAGTTATGTTTCCATTCTTGTATAATATTTTTATTGATGTTTGATACCTAGGTTTCAAAAACATTCACGACATAGTAAAGTTACTGATTCAAAGTTCATGACATATGGTCACGTGACCTCATGAATAACACAAAACCCTCGCCAAAGGCTCGCATAAGATAATACAATTTTTATTCCTAATATATGATATTAATGATACGGAAACACACTCAGTTAATAATCTCTATGTACATCATTGGCTGATACAAGATTGTTAACATACTGGCAACAAAGACTCTCCCTCCGACAACACCAGCACGTTGACATTCGTGGGAAACTCCTGAGTGTGGTAGTTGAAGTCGTATTCAACCTTCGCCCATTTGATCAGGTTACCCAGAGCTGTGATGTTTTTCAGACCTGAAATAACAAATAGGTTGTTAAACTTCATCTGTGAGTGAGTGAGTGTTGCTTTATGAAACAATCACAGAGCAGTACTTTGGTAGAACGCACATGCACAGGTATGGTGTTGATAAAGCTAGACACAATTTGGGCAATCTGGGATTTGAACAAACTCCAAACATGAATAGTGACTCCTGCTTTATCTCCAGTACTGACAATGACTGCCTGGGATCTGGGAGTGCACCTACCATCTGGGTTGAGCTGGCCTGGTTGCAGCATGGTCTCATCCACAATGAGCTGTGTGGCGTCACTGAGCTGCAGCAACCCGCTCCGCAGTCGGTTAGCGCTGTAGTCTTTGGCAGGAGACAGTTTCATCTGGTTCATGTTCTCGATCGTCAGTGGAAACAGGTAGGACTAAAACAGACATTTTCAAAATGACCACAATTTGTAAAACTCTTCTACAGCTGATACTGTTACAAAACCTACTGGACTGTCAAGAGTTTCTAAAATGACAAAGTGTGAAGTGTTGTAGCTTGTCAAGTTACCCGACGCCTGCAGCAGATATGACATACCTGTGTGACGAGCCCTGACACGAGACAGTGCACCAGTTTACTGTAGTCCTGAGAGGGGGCGGGGCAGCCACTTATGTTCAGGCTCATCTTGCCGAGGGGCATCATATCTGCTCGGTTGTAACTGCAACATATCAAACCAACATTGAAATTTGATATTTATAGATGCGTCTGAAGAACTAACGTAAGCTTTGTCATTCTCCCTGAACCCCACATAGCAAACAATACCCCATCCCACAGGACACTGCCTCATCCCACACGGTTAACAATACACCATACCTCAAGTTACACCCTCACCCCACCCAGTGAACAATATCCCACCCCACAAGACCCTCCCTCACACCCACCCAGTGAACAAGATCCCACCCCACAAGACACTACCTCACCCAACACAGCAACCAATACCCCACCCCACAAGACCCTTCCTCACCCCAACAGGTAAACAATACGCCACCTCACAAGACACTACCTCAACCCACAAGACACTACCTCACCCCACCCGGCAAACAATACCTCACCCCACAAGACACTATCTCACCCCACCCTACAAGACACTACCTGACCCCACCCGCCAAACAAAACCCCACCCCACAAGACACAACCTCACCCCACCCGGCAAACAATACACCACCCCACAAGACACTACCTCATCCCACCCGCAAACAATACACCCCCCCACAAGACCCTACCTCACCCCACCTAGCAAATACCCCAGCCCACAAGACACTACCTCACCCCATCCGGCAAACAATACCCCACCCCACATGGCAAACAATACCCCACCCCATAAGACACTACCTCACCACAACTGGACACTTGAGACAAGGCGACACAGCATATACATGAAGTCCCACAAGATACGGGTCCTTCCCTAACGATGTTCCCTCAACCGACAAGACCCTCTTGCCCCATCCAACAAACATTACCCCATCCCACAGCTGGACACTCACACACTTGAGATGAGGTGACACAGCAGATACTCAGCACTGAGGGAGTCTCCGAAGACAGCGTGTTCCAAGATGGAGAGCAGCTCAGATCTGATTCTGGCTATTTCCGACTGTGCAGTGGTCAGGGCTGAAACGTCAATGATCCACAACAACTACTTACACAGTCAATAAGTTATCAACATCCGAACATTATCATGCACTTTCTTTCAATGATGTCACACTAACAAGTTACAGACCCTCAAACCTGACAAAAAGAAGTTCTCTGATCTGGGTCTCTTGGTTTAGATCAAAATGTAATGTCACAGAAATGGTAATGCAATGCTGCAGGGGGAAAGAAACTGAATTTATCCTCTAAAATAGCTTCCACTGAGGAATTTATCCTCTAAAATAGCTTCCTCTGAGGAATTTATCCTCTAAAATAGCTTCCACTGAGGAATTTATCCTCTAAAATAGCTTCCACTGAGGAATTTATCCTCTAAAATATCCTCTAAAATAGCTTCCACTGAGGAATTTATCCTCTAAAATAGCTTCCACTGAGGAATTTATCCTCTAAAATAGCTTCCACTGAGGAATTTATCCTCTAAAATAGCTTCCTCTGAGGAATTTATCCTCTAAAATAGCTTCCACTGAGATATCACTTGGTTGAGATCATTAAACTACATCACTATGATCTGCAGACCATGAAGGTCATAGGTTACCATGATCACAACAAAATGACATCACTAATGCAGACTCTGGATGACTTACAAACGAGGGGGTCCCAATGACCCCCACTAATATATTTTACGGGTCCTGCTGCTAATATGAGGGTCCTGTAAAGGACTGGTATGGTGTTGTATACAGTATGTTCAGAAATAAAATTACTACAGAGCCTGGAATGAATCAGTGGTCATATGGACACTGGTCTTGATAGATGGGTGAAATTTGAGTTGAGTTGAGTTGGGTTTTGCGTCACATCGGCATTATTCCAGCCATATAGTGACGAGAACAAGTTTGCATTAATAAACATTGTAAGTACATACTCGGAATGAGTTTTATTTCAAAAACATATATTCATTACATTGTCATTTAAAAGCAGAAAAAGTCATAGCATCAAATTTAAAGGCAGGCAATTTGTTAGTCACATTTCACAGTTACAATTTATGATAGTTACATTTCACAGTTACAATTTATGATACAGATCAACTTCCCTCAGGTAGTTCACTATCAGATGAGCGCTCACGCGGGAGAACAGATCTTTTAGGTTTGTTGCATCATAATGTGAGTCCCTTGCAGACGATAAGTCCACGCATTCAAGCAGGACCAGACAACTACTCTTGATGAAGGCATGCTTTCAGTATTTTTGTGCGTCTCTCCGTCGTGGTATTTCAGCGTACATTCTGTACATTTGTGTGTCGCTTAAAACCCTGCTATGACATCTCTGCCAGAGGTTGGTCTGCTCTCTTATAATGTTTACAAACAGAGGTGAGGTGACATTGGGTTTAACGTCGTGCTTGAGAATATTTCGCTCACATGATGACGTGCATGCGTGTGTATGTGTATGTGCGGCTGCTTGTACTAGCCCAGACTTAAGCTGGTTTTATAGTGATAGCCCACTGAGATACCACGCTTCAGTGAAGCATGAATACCCCACTCAGACACATTATAGACTCCGAGCCGACCAGTTCTTGTTGTACCCATTAATGCCGAGAGCCAGGCAGGGACCAACAAGTACCATATTTTAACGTCTTTTGGTATGACGCGGTCGGGATCGAACCGGCGACCTTCCGATCTCCGGGCGGACGCTCTAGCCACTACACCTCGGAGGCGGTCTTTACAAACAGAAAAAGTTGGAAGAGTGACTCTGGATGATGACTAAAAACTCACTTCCATGTTTCCCATGAGCAAATGTATCAAAACTCAGTATGCATGTGATACCTGAAACTCTTATCAACCCATCTGCACATATTTAAACTTTGATGACACCTTGTGAGAATCTCAATTTCACAATAGTTCCACTTACAATACCTACATTTACCATACCTATACTGAAATATGGGTTAACATCTTAATACATATCTGCCTTACATAGAGAAGCAGTGTGATCGTAGGCTGCCTACCCTGAACAAAGTCGGGGTCCGTGATGACCGGGGGTAGGTGTGGGTTGTTGTGGGACAGTTTCCGGGATAGGATGGCATGAAGTCGGGGGACGAGGGATGGTGGTGGTGCATGGGCGTTTCTCTCAGCCTCCGTCTCAAACTCAGGGTGGACTTCCTCCATTCCTCTGTAACCATGGAAACAGTTCAGTTCTAAATCTTGTTCAACTGAGTTGAGATGAAGCTTTGAAAGGTATTTCAGTCATGCGTTTGGATGTCTGCAGTGAAGCAGATTTGGTGAAATCCCGATAACATCAAATTGTTTTAAGGAATAGCTATTATTACCCCCCGCCAAGAAGTGGGAGGGGGATATAGGTTTGAGCTCTGTCCGTCCGTGATGATAGGCACAGATGATAAAAGCACAGATTTTCTCAACAAAAACAAAACAAACCCAAACCCTGTTATAGATGGGGAAACCAAAGTTGGTACATGTTTTCACTACATGAATGCCTTGATGGAGTTTGAAAATGGAAACCGTGTTACAATTTCTTACGGAGTTATGGCCCTTTGTCATGTGTTTCTTGACTTAGTGCATGGTATCCCCAATGGGGACAGATTTTCTCAGAAACCGTTATAGATAGGGAAACCGAATGTGGTATGTGTTTTCAGGACATAAATGTCATGGTGGAGTTAAAAAGGAATGAAATACAAACAGAAGACTGTGGTGGGGGATATTGATGACCATGTCTTCTTGTTAGTATTGAATTGCATACTATGTATTACTATTATGCTTATCTCTTAAGCATTTCTCCTAATCAATTCAAATCTCTTACTCTGGTTTGGCGTTGAACTGGGCCATGGACGGATCAACAGACAGGATTCCTATGAACTCAACAACGTCGTTGACTTTGAAACTATCAATGTCATCATAGGTCTGAAATTAGACAATTCCATGTTTGTCCAAATTTCTTCCAAAAGAAAATGATGAACAATCAAAATCCCTCTTCACTAGTCAAACCCACTTTCACCAGACACACCCACATTTACAAGACAACCCCCTCCCCCTTGAGTAGACACACCCACATTTACAAGACAACCCCTTGACAAGACACACCCAATTTCACTAGACACACCCACATTTAAAAGACAGTTTTCCCAAGACACACCCACATTTATAAGAACAACCTCCCTTCACAAGACACACCCACTTTCACTAGACACACCCACTTTCACTAGACAAGCCCCCTTCACAAGACACACACACCTTCACCAGACACACCCACATTTACAAGACAACCCCCTTTCAAGACACACCCACACACACCCCCTTCACAAGGCACACACACATTTACAAGACAACCCCCCTTCACAAGACACACCCACTTTCACCAGACACACCCACAGATCCATATTTGCAAGACACACCTATTTTTACCAGACACATCCACCTTCTAATCACACTTTTCCAGACACAACCACCTTCAAAAGACACACTCATCGTCACAACATAATTACCCTTTACTAACACATCCATATTTGCAAGACGACATTGACACCTTCAACAGACACACCCACCTTTACAAGACAAGCCAGGCCTGTTTCCCCAGGGAGGGGATGGTTGAGATCCACAGAGGATGACGGAGCAGCACCTACAAGAACATCCCTATTCCTTATATTTCCAAATTTTCTTGATATATATATGCTAAATTTCATCGAAAGTAAAAGCCGCTAGAAATGACACTGGGTGAAATGATTTGAGTTCAACACCCCTTTGAACAATATTCCAGTCATATCAGGCCAACTCAGTTTGACGTGGGAGAAAAAAGTCAAGTGATGTAGGTCTTCCACCTTTACAATGTTTGTGTTAAACCTATAAGTGTTGGTGGGGTGCGACAAATCTAGAAACATTATAGGATTAATTGGGGTTCATACCCACAAGGATATGCTCCTGGCACACTCAGGGGATGCAACTCAGCACTGCAAATTGGGCACCTTAGAATGATTGGGCCACCTTAAAAAGACTTATGTCCCTAGACCATAGATGGTTGTACTGCAAGTTAAAAATTAGGATTGTTTTACAAATAAACACCAACAGACAGAGGGCATAGACTGCACTTCCATGGAAAACATTGCCTGTCATCAGTTGTAAAATCTCACCAGCAGATGGCGCTGTTCTATTTCTTTTCGGCTCAGTATCACTAGCTGCCACTCCTCCATTAGCTGCTCCAACCTGATTTGTGTCGATGTCATTCATTGGTTGATCACTTATATCACTTACACCTTGATCTCGGTCATCGTCACGACCTCTTTTAGATCTGACATGTGGGTTAGAAGTCGAGGCTCCTGGAGTTTGCACGCTCTGGCTGGCATAACCATACTGTGTGTCAAGGTTACAAACTTTTCACATTTACTATCGTACTTGTGGAATTAAAGAAAAGAAAGAACTATTTTCATATTTTCTGAGGTATCTTAATGTTGTAATCAATGCAAAAAATCATGATAATCATAAAAGAAAACATTCCTCTTCATTATTTCTGTTCTACTGAAACACTTTGGTAATTTATTATTTCCGCTTGAGAAGTATATTGACATTTGCTGCCTACTCTGTGTCAAGTATTGGACACTGAATAATGGGAACATGTACTGATGATAAAGGAACATAATATAACCTGTAAATATTGCACAACATTCTGACGAGTCTCAACTATCCAGACAGAAATGTTAACTGTCAACTTGTTACTTGTTCAACCCTCCATAGTTTCTGTTATCATTCATGTTTTGACACCAATAACTGTAATGTTATGTAATATATTGTATGAATGTATAAAGGGTTGTAATTGATGTATTGTTTCTAATGCCTTGTATCAGGATACAATACAGTATCACTGTATCATTACACACTGTTGTATCTGACTGCCACATCTACACACTACAGGCTTGTGACAGAAAGGATATTGCCTTGACCCAGTCGGATTCTCCTGGCACAGGGACACAGTACAATGTCTGCCTGTCCATCGTCACATTCCTGTCCGACTCGATGTTAATCTCCTGATGGGCCTGAAACACGATCCAAGTCAGATAATCCAGTGTCATTCAAAATGCAATGTCCTGGTAATCAGCTATCTCTCAGAAGTAATGCATGTCATTCATCACATTTACAGGGAAAGGGAGCTTTCCTTAGTGATACCACTCTGCTAGCTGCACAAAACCAACCATATCAACTTCGCAAGGTTTGAATAAACTATCAACATGAACACATAGTGGCAAACCAATGATGGAGACAAGGGAGATAACTTTATCTGATAAACTCAACCTAGAAAGTTCTTAAGTGGAAATCTGAGTGTAGTTTTAGACAAATCAGTAGTTGATGAGGGTGGGGTGAGGTGGGGCGAGGCGAGGCTGACTTCATCAAAGCATTCAAGATTATTGCTCTCTACAGTGCTAACCTACTCATATACCATGCAGCAGTTTTACACAGATACCTCACTCAGATACACTGACTCTTGAGTTGACAGATCCTGTTTCACATATCAGGCAGGCAACTACAAGTGCCATCTTTATTATCTTCCAATTTGAAGCATCGTGGATCAAGATACTTGTCGTTCATTCTCTGGGCAGAGACTGTACCCACTTTGAAGGCTATACTGGAGGCTTATCCATTCAAGTAGATCTCGAGGTTAACCCACCCTTGCATCAGCAACGTCCTTGTATTTTCCTGACAGCATCAGGGTTTGTTTGGACTTCATGTCAGTGACCTCGTATGATCCGAGGTAGAACTCAGGGTCAAACATATCCTGGATCATGCATCGGTACTTCACAAGGCAGTTGGGCCGCAAATTGTGTAGGGCCACGTCGTTTAAAGATGGAATCTGGAGACAGAACATGTCAAGTTTCTATCAAGACTCAAGTGATGAAGACTGAGTCTAAAATAGAAAATAGACCTTACATTACCTTCATCCAGCTTTGCCATTTGCAAAACAATTCTTTTCAAATTGCTGTGAAAGTACAGACTGTACGTGTCCTAATGTTACAAAATTCAAACACATACTTGTTTCAAAATCATTTCCTTTTAAACAACAATATGTATGCAACAACGTCTCTTGATATCTCTGATATCTTGATATATAGTAATCTGTTACACCACATTTAGCAACATAACATTATCATTTGAGGGATAAAAACTGACATAGAATGGTCTTCATATATTGTACCAATTTTGGAAATCTATTTGACCCGTTTTTCTGTGCACTGATCGTTTGCATTTCTTCAATCACTGGATTCTCATTCACACTGACTGATCGACCTATCCATGCCATAAAAGGTAAGAACACCTACCATGGATAATGCCTTCTTGTGCTGCAACCGTTTACCAAAGTAGTCCCTGATGGCTGTGTTGTCTGATATTCCATGTTGGTCTGGAATAAACATATAAAGATCTTAAGTAAGCCTTCTGGTCTTACTCTTTAGTGGCATATTATAAGCGTACTACCTGAGAAATAAATACTTGAGGAACATGCAACTTAAAAACAAAAAGACATTAAACATTTTATGAATAACAATCTCAAATCTGTGTAAAGATGCATGCATGAAGATACATCTATACCCTACAAAACAGCTGCTTGAATAATCAAGACGTTTAATGTTCTTGCTTTCTTATCAGTTGCTGGAAGACTTTGAGGTCAGACACTGTCACAGTGCATCTGCAATTTTCTGAAGGGGTCTAAAACAATTTTAATTTCTTTAACAGATGATACTCAGCGCTTTGAGCTCATCTCCCATATTAAAGAGTGGGTTAAATACATAGTTATTCACTTATTGGCTGTTGAGCGTCTGTGATTGCAGCCCCTTGCTCGACTCATGGTATTTTCTCAAGTCATCGTATTATCCACCAAACAATCGCGTGAGACAATAATCTGCTGTTAGTGAATAGGTTATACCAGGAGACACTTACCGATTAGATTCTGAATAACATCCAGTGGATTGTCCGTCCAGTCTTCTACTCCAGGCATACTTATTTCCTTTAGTAACAACTTTTTGTTTTTCTCACGTTAACCCAGATGGCGGGAAATTTTATAATCTCTAACGAACTAAAATAGCTGCAATTTTCTAAACGTCAAAACGTATTACGTTAAATAACGCATAAATGTCGTTTCAAATTAGAAATAGTTAAAAGCTACCGTTATAAAGTTAGGAAGATGCCATTGTTAAGTGTGAAAGGCATGTTTATCTATAGAAACTTTGGTTTCTTTGGTTTAGTTGTGAGCACGTGTTGCGCTTAAACTGGTACTCTGTCTATACTTAAATTTCTCAAACTCTCTTCAGCGCCTGCCACCTCTCCGCTTTCACATATTTCGGGTGGGAGTGTAGGGAGCGAAATGTCGCTGTGGGGAGATTCTGTGACAATCTCCTCACTGCGGCGTGTTCAATTACGAGCTCCAGTTTAACGTGATTGCGTCTCGAAATACTCCTTGCAGCGACAGTCCAGCCGAAAGTTAGTTGAGTTGAAAGCCAACTAAAGTACTTTCGGAAATAGAAAATTATACCTGTTTTTTTTCACATTTGTATCTACAATTTAGGTAGTTAATATGTGAAAGTGTGAAATATCTGTTAAACTAAGTTCGGCCTAACTACAGTCGCAGTGGTAGGGAGATAGGAAACGTAGAAAACGGACTTTACTGAGGAGAGATTAGTGCAGAAATGAGCAATGCGTTTTTTTCTTTAAGTCCAATGCGACAAATTCAGAACATACCATGGCTTTATGCAAATTAGTGTGCGATGACATTGTATTATAAAGGACACTTTTTAAATGATCATTTTGAAATTAGACTTAGCTTCATTATAAACGATAGCAGACGTAAAAAATAATAACTTTAATACTGAAACTATTAAGGTTGTAGCTACCATGGCGTATCACTCTCACTATAAAAAGAAACAGGTAGGAGGGTGGTCGGGCTCGGGCTGGGAACTGAGATATAAGCTAAGATAAGATAATCAATATTCAATACACATGAAAAAACCATAAAATATCTTTGAGATGACCCCTTGTGCCTGTGGGCAGCACGTGCATCCCATGCCATGTGAGTCAACGGTCAGTCGACCTGGCTGAGCCACCTAATTGCCATCTATATAGGCAGTACCTGTTTTCATTTTTGATTTAAGAAATTCATTTTTAATAGAAGGTACGATCACGTCCCGAGAAGGATATTTCTTCATGCCGAAGAACAGATTTATAAACAATGCATATCCTACTATCCCAGATACGACAGATACCCTGCTTGTGTTTTTTTTTAATTTAAGAAGTTTAATTATAATGTAAAGGCACGACCGTGTTCCTAAAAGGATATTTTACTGATGAACAGATTCGTAAAAAATACATATCTTTCTTTCCCAGATATACGATAGATACCCTACATATGTTAATTTTAATTTAAGAAATTCATTTCTAATATATTGCTTTACATCCTGTCCAGGTTTGCTAATTTTACAACAAAAGTCTCTGCGACACGCATGTTCTCTCTCTCACACACACACACACACACGCACAAGTAAATTGAAAATCATTCATCAAACTTGTCAGTGAAAATATCTACTGACACATTTTAAAGGTTTATTTGAAATATACGATTTCAGTTAAGATGTCAGTCCTCGCTGGATTTTCTCAAACTTTGACAAGGAGAATCGTTTCGTAAAATTTTACATTCCCCGGTGGTAGAACTATTGTCATAACTTTTACACGTTTTATTTCCAACCCCAGCACTGCTTAGAGTTCTCATACCGGAAATGGACACAAACTGATTTTCTTGGGGTTTTCATTGGTTGGCAGTAAATGACTCTCTTAAGCTGGGCCCCGTCTCGCATATCGCAATAGAAAGTTAGCGCGCGCAAAGGGAGCCTAGAACCAGCTTAATGACACTCCAGGAAGTAATTGAATTTTGAGTTCGTTTCCTGAACCGCGTCATTTGAGTTGACAAATGTCCAAGACAGAAACACATTATTTTGAAAATTGCCCAAACCATGGAACTCATATCGTGTCCAAAACACAGTAAGTTTACTTGTGACGCTCTGACATCGCCACGTTTGACAGCACGGTAGAAATAATACTCTTGGGATGTCTGTACATCTAGTAGAGTGATATTATTCGTGTGTTAAACTAACGATGAAATGACGTATTTCTATTTTCGCTTTGATATTATGTATTATCTTTCTGATTCGTTTTACTTTCTTTGGTGGCATTGTTAGATTATAAATATTAAATATAATTAAGTAACGTACATTTTTTCAAAATGAGAAATATTCCGGGCTGTTTCAGAGTAGGAACAATATTTTCTTCATGTAAACGTTTGATTGCTCGTCATATTTCAGTGAGACACCCTTCCCATGTCTATGTTAGGATGTTGTCATAGTGTATTCTACGCGTATTGTATGCCAGATTGTTAATGCAACATTTGATCAAGAGATCTATTTGCATGGGCAGTAGGTGAAAGTAGGACTGGTAACCACTGGATTGGATTCGTTACGTTAGTAAAATGGGAAAGCAACCTCGATGATGATGAAAATCGATATATGACTTTAATGTAACCGGAAAAGTGTTTGCATTTTGTGAAATAAATCAAATATAATGTGATCGTGATGAAAATATGCTTAAAATAATAAAATATGAAGTGGCATTCCGACAAATCACAGGCCACTAAATATTAAATTCAGTTGTGTAAAATTAAAAGATATGTATTAGGTAAGTGTCGCTCATTCCTTAGCTGCCCTTAATTTATCGTATCACTGAAAACAAAGCATAACAGTTATATACACAATTAAGTACAAATCAAACTTAATAGTAGTCAGAATCACCGTCTGAACCAGTCTAGCAAATGGAGTAGTAACATGCATGAAGTAGAAGTAACCACTGATCAATTTACGAGTCAGAGAGCTGGGTAGTAAATATAGACTTGTCCCAGTTCCAGTTCCTTCTAACCTCATCACATAAATGTGATGTTGATATGGTAAGAAGTGGCATATTTAATATCACAAGAAAGGGTTCTGATGCTCTGTATCCATACACATTTGTTTATATTGTCCAGGTAAGCCATGTTCTCTGAAGACAGGCACCAAGCCAGGCCCCAACAAAGGCAAGAGTTTCTACCTGTGCATGGATAACTCTGATGGACAGTGTGACTTTGTGCAACAAACATCGTAGGTTAATTCTTCAACTATTTTCTTATCCTCATATATCATATTTAATACTTAGGCTTGTTCCATTTTACAAAGATTCAGTATCAGCAGTATTAAGTATTCTACTATGTGTATCTATAAGTATTTATGTATATCCATGCAGGAGCCATTCTACTGGGGCGGATGGGTAACCTATAGTGGCTGGAATATTCGCTTGTTGTACCGAGGACCCAGGTTCATTTCCCTTCCAAAGCCCATTTCTGGTGTATCTTGCCGTTATATTGCTAGAAAATAGGTATAAAACCATACCCACTGACACACTTTGTTCGATGCAGGCCAAGTGAATACACTTCTTTGTGCAAGAGTAAGTTTCATTTACAGATGACTATGTATAATCAGTATGTCTTACAATCAGTTATTTTGTCTAATCTGACAACATGTTTTGGTCACAGAACAGCCACCTGCATGATTAACTTAGTCTGATCAGAGTTCTGTCAATTCCAAATTCTGACATTGTATTGTTGTCCCATGAGGAAGTCCACTGTGTCCAACATCAACCCAAGAACAGCCTTTCATAAACTCTCAACTGTGGTAGTTTTGTTTGCATTTGGTATACAACCTTCAATACACGTTCAAATAATGCTTAGTAAGGATTAATCTACAATGAACCAGTCAACTTTTAATGCTTGGCACAAAACAGAGTTTGATTCTCTGTTTCCTGATAGGCTTGATTATGAACTGAGTGAATCCTGTCAGTCCTGAAACTCGTCTAAATCAACATTTCTGTTGTCTGCATGTTTGATATGAATGGCAAAATGAGTCTAATAAGCGTGGTTGTTGACAGGCATTAAAGAGATAATGCATGTCAGGAAGTCATTGTTTGCCAGCAGTTGAAATGCTTATCGATAGGAAATCTAGCCCAAAGGTACGAAGTTCGGAAAAATTCGTGGATATAATATTTTCGAGGTTGAGTTTCTAACCTCGAAAACCTCGAAAATTAGATACCTCGAAAATTTCCCTTTATACGGTAACCATTGGTATACGTCCCCAATTCGTCAAACACAGTACATTTATCCCCATTCTAATTCAACTCATTTTACGCTGTTTTTTCGTGAAAGAAATTCATTATTTAAACCTGGTCAAAGTTCCTCTAGGTCAAAGGTTAATCATATCACTCCTTCAACTTACACCATTGCCAGAGAAAGTAGTTCCCTTTTCAACCTACACACGTTTATTATGTGCACACAGACTAAATTTGACAATGATAAATAGATCATAGTATTATAGATAAAATGGACGGTATTATGATGAAACCGCCCTCTAGTTACAGAAATGAGCGGCCCGTTCTGTTGTTAAATGACGTCATAGCAGGTAACGTCACGCTCCATAATGACGTCATAAACCTTGTTTCATGATCTAACAGTGTTCGGTCAACAGCCCGTTGCGAGTAAGTTGTTTGAACTTAAAATTAAATTTATGATACTGTTTTGTCTGTTTTAACTCAAATTCCACCCATTTTAGCTGGATAGGGGAGTTAATTGACCAATGGCTTCTGCAAATGACAATGTCCTCCGAAACAGCGTTACCCCAATAGTGAAGAGTTACATTCAAAGGTTTCGGTGAATCGGTTTTCAAATTGCGACCGTATATGCTGATTATACGGTCGGAAATTTATAGCATTGACCAATCAGAACTCGTGTTACATACTAAGTTGAATTAGAATGTATCATGCATGTCATACGCGAGTATATAAAACTGGGGTCAAGTGTTATCGGTTTGAGTGGTCATTCCCTTCCTGTTTGCATTTGGTATACAACCTTCAATACACGTTCAAATAATGCTTAGTAAGGATTAATCTACAATGAACCAGTCAACTTTTAATGCTTGGCACAAAACAGAGTTTGATTCTCTGTTTCCTGATAGGCTTGATTATGAACTGAGTGAATCCTGTCAGTCCTGAAACTCGTCTAAATCAACATTTCTGTTGTCTGCATGATATGACTGTATCATGCATGTCATACGCGAGTATATAAAACTGGTGTTAAGTGTTATCGGTTTGAGTGGTCATTCCCTTCCAGCTCAGCAGAAGACAGTCTGTATCATGAACGCTATGCTGTTCCGTTAGCTTGAAACTAGTATATTGTACTGACAGCTAAAATCCAACTAGGACTAGTAGCATTTGAAGGCTAAATTTCTGGAGTTGGTGCAAACTCTGATTACTAAATACAGAGCTCCAGATAAGCTGCGTATTTGCGTTTAATATGCTGTAGGAAAGTTGAAATATGCAAGAAAAATAAATGCCAGTGTATGAAAAAACACTAAATATTTATGTTTACGCTAAGTCAAAATAACAATGCGTATTTACCCAATACATCAAAATTATGTTGCGTATCATATCAATTCAAGCCAATCGTCTGCTAGATGAATTAAAAGGCAAGTGCTGTGTTTCACAATCAGATTCAATTGACGGTGATATCTTAAATGAACTTGTAACATTAGCTGTTCGCAGTACCAAACAGACGTAGACTAAGGCACATAATATATCTCACAGCACGAGTGGATAAAGCTGTATTAGCTATTAGCTATAATTAAGCATTATTTGTTATTCATCTTAAAATTGGAAATGCCCACTTAGTTTCACAAGTATGGGTGTCATACCCACATGGCCAAAAGCTTATCCGGAGCTCTATAAATAAATGATATGTCTGCTAGACTAATTTTAAAAAATAGTTCTATGAGTCCTGATGCTCTAAAAATATTACACTGGATACTCAAGAACGGTTTCCTTCAAACACAAAAAGTAATCCTTGCTCATTGTGAGAGTCAGCTAATATGGTGGTTACCACTGGTTACAATACATGATCTGGTTAATTATGCCAGATTATTCACAAGAGAGTGAATCATCTTGTGCTGTCAATCGTTGATATGTGGATTCTCATTATTTCCAGGCTGTAAGAAGGAAACGCTTGTAATACTGCTGACTTTTTAAAAAGTCTTTGGGAATGAAAGAAAACCTGACCATTGTGTCACTAGTTCTGTTGTTCCACTGTTTATATCTGTCCTAGTCTGGCGCCGAAGTGTTGTCCGAACCATGCTGGGGATTTTGTGGAGCTGCAGAGATTGGTTGTGGGGAAACAGTCTGGAGAGAAGAGGTGAGTGGGAACAGTGTTAGTGTAAAGTTGGCATAGGCGTTACAAGGTCTTGCTTTGGCTGTATGGTTTTAGGAGATTCTGCTCGGTATTAAAATGGTCTTTTTCCGTGGAAGATGTTTCCATAGCATATCGTGAAAACTGGACAATGTATCTTCACCAAACGTGGCACATTGATAGATCTAGTAAAAAATTGGTTCCTTTTGATAGTTTTGGATTTTGAAAGTTCCCGAGTTTCCATGGTAACAACTTTGACTAAGGCTAGAAAGGGTGTTAGGGTTCATTTCATGCAAATTGATCCTGTAAAGATCCGGGTTAGAATTGGTCTTCAGCAATCCATGCTTGTCATAAGAGGTGACTAATGGGATCAGTTGATCAGACTCCCTGACTTCGTTGACACATGTCATCATATTCCAATTGCTTATATCGATGGTCATGATGTCAGTCACAGGATTGTGTGGTCAAGACTTTGAATATTGACAGGCTTTTGTCGTATAGCTCGTACATTGCTCAGTGCGGCATTAAACCACAAACAAACAAGTCTAACCATTGAAGCTTTTCCCATCATGGGAATCTCGTAATAAGGAATCGCTTTGAAGGCACATCTTTCCTTTGGTTTTATGACATGTGATGAATACCCTGAAGAGGCCTGTAATCAATGCAGGATGCTGTTGTTGTTTCCAGGTGTTACTACAGGTGTGCTGACGGGAGAAACAACAAGACATGGTGTGGATGCTACAACTTCTCAACTCAGGTAATACAGTGGACTCTGTATAATCCGACATTCACTGGGACCAGGAAAAAATGTCGGATTATACACAGTGTGGGATAGTTCAATGTCTCCTTGCTTGAATACTTTTCAAACAGTACCATACATTGTAACTGGCTTATATCTTGAAATTAATGTTTCATAGCTATTTTCTTGCTAAATATAGGAAAAAAAAACATTCTGTATTTACATGTACATGTATACATTGGATTTATTATGTTCAGTACAATATACATACACTCTAGTGTTTCATCAGATCTGCAGAAAATTACTTGAAACCTGTGGATTGCCTTTTATTTTCTTGTCTATGATTTTTGGAGAGGTATTGTCAGCATGGAGAATGGAAGGCCAGGTGTTTGATTCTGCTGATCAGCTGAAAGATGGCTAACACATGGACTAGTCAGGGGAAATATTCACCATACTGTGTCTTAGTGGGTTTCCTTATTAAAACTGTGGTTTGTTTTCTCTTTGAAGATTGATACTGAGATGTTGCTCATATTTTTCAATCCAACCCTATCAGTACTTGGTGGCTGTTTTTCTTGTGTGGTTTTGTTGAGAATGATTGATGGCTGACTGTTTCAGAGTAAGTCAGCCCTCAAGGATTACAATTATCAAGACAGAGATAAATCTGCAGTGAAGGACTCTGATGTATCAAGTAAAAGTACAGAGACTTCAGCCAATAAGAAGACATCCTCATCAAGTAGCGACTTAGCAGACACAGGCAAGAATACTAGTGAACTCAACTGTAGTGAAAAAGATAGTGAGAGGACTTCAGGAAGTGAATCATCTTCAGAATCTGAAGGAGCAGAATCCGGGGGGAGAAATCATTCAAAATCTGATGGAAAATCGGAGGCAGGCGTGCCGCAAAAAAAAGCAGACGTCAAACAGAAAGGAGCAAATGTCGAGCAGAGAGGAGCAGACGTGAAGCATAAAGAAGCAGATGGCAAGCAGAAAGGAGCAGACGTCAAACAGAAAGAAGTAGATGGCAAGCAGAAGGTTGAAGAGAACAAGGAAAAATGTGGAGAGAATCGTGACAAAGTTGAACCTGATGTGGTAGTTGTTGATGATAGTAGTGATGATGATGATGATAATTTGCCAAGCTTCCACAGTCTTGCGAAAAGGACGCCTAAAAGTAAGGCGATGTCAGTTGCGGGTAACTCAAGCTTCACATCATACAGAGACGGAGAGGTGGAGAGTTCACATCAGACAGGACAGACCAAGGTAGGTTGGGTGCTCAAACTCCGAAATAACACTGTAATCTCCTTGATTACTCAAGGGCAGAGTAGCCTTTCAGTACTTCACCTTTAATCATTTACAACAGAAGATCATATTTCAATTTGTCTTTCCAATGTTGAATTTCAGGCAAAGTTGATATTTATTTTACAAGTGTATGTTTGAGTAGATATTGCATGTAATGTTCCATTTTGATAGAGTAACTGTTATTGCAATCTATATCTTGATAGACTAACTGTTATTGCAATATCTATCTGGATAATGTATCTTGAACAGCAGACAAAGAGAGTTTAATTCAAATGATGTGATTTTAGGTATCCAATTAGTCTTCTGTCTTCTTGAAACATGAATAAAGTTAATCTGAGTATTGAGTAAAATAAGGGCAGACGCCATTGGTCACACATGGTTATGAGTCCACATGGTTGTATATAACAACTTAATTGTGGGACATAGCAACTGGTCCAATGTTGTTGGTGGTCTCTGACTAACAGTCTCTGACTCTACTAGTGTCGCGGTGTACCCCTGGACCTTTCTGGGTTATTGAGACTTGCAGGAGTTCAGACTTTATTATGATTTCTAACAGTCTAAAGACCCACCAGCTGAACCTATCAAGGAACAGTCACCTGTGGACTCTTTAAGTAATGAAGTCCAGAAGATGGGTTTGGGAAAAGGGGAAGACAACCCTTACTTAGACCTCACCTTGCAACAAGCCATCTCTCGGAAGAGAGATCTCCTTCAAGCTCTTCATAAGAACAAGGTTAGCGGACTTGTGTGATTGATTGTAGGCCATTCCTCACTCATATTTTTACGTTTATAGTGAAATAACTATCAAGTGCAAATTGTTCAAAGAATTTTTGAATTCATTTAGCATTTTGCATGTTAACTTGTGATCACAGAATGCATCCCTACTTTTCAGAAAAGCTGTATCTCGGTTTGATTTCTTTCCATTCTGAACACCTTTGTGTACTGTATTATTGCTAATGAGCCCAATCATACTGCAGGAAATTGCTCAGAGTAGAGTGAAACTGTCCAATCTTCCCGATGGTGGTGTTAAACTGACGCAGATGATAAACTCCCTCAGCACCAATGTCAGGCAGCTGGACGAGAGGATCGCTAAAGGTGACAGTCAATACCTGTGTAATACAGCTTATGTATCCATGGAAACCTGAGAACATGAGGCAGATGTACTGTCAAATGATGTTACTGAATTGTTTTGCTAAAATAATACAGAGGTTGTTGAGGAAATGGTTGTAGCTTTGCACATTTAACACAGGATTTTACCATAGAGATGATTCTAACTGTGATGCTAAGACACATCGACTTGCTGTTCAGACTTATCTCCCTTTGTTGTATGTACAGGTTCTGTTACCGCTGATTCACAGATATGCTCTCAAATCCTTGGTTTATTTATTTCTTATTTATGCTGATATGTATTGATGTGACCAAAAATTTACAAAATTGGTAGTACTATTAAAAACTAACTAGCCTTTCAAGGCCACGTTTCCATAAATCACGGACAGCAAAGACCAAATTCTTCTCCTCAGACACACTTGGTGTTCTCAGGTAATGACAAGGAAGAATTCCACACAGCATTTTGCCGCTAACAAAGACAAAGGTAGCGGCCACACTTATAGCTGACATCGAAATCATAACAATGATTGGACCTGTGAAGATCCGGGGTAGAATAGGTCTTCAGCAACCCATGCTTGCCACAAAAGGCGACTATGCTTGTCGTAAGAGGCGACTAACGGGATCGGGTGGTCAGACTCGCTGACTTGGTTGACTCTAGTGTTGGGAATTGGTTAAAATCTCACAATTGATGATTGCTTCATTACAACCGATCAATCATCGAAAATAATTTGTTTGTGTCATTTATGAAGTTTTCCTGGTTATTTTTGTTAATGCACAAAAACAAAGAAAAAACATGTAGTCCTTTGTTTTTTTGTTTTTTTTGGCAAAACTGCACATCTTTAACTGATAAAACCAACCTTGTGAAAAATATTGTTAATGCAAAAAGTGTTCCAGAATTGTTTGTGTTCGATTATGAGAAAACATGATCGATTGCTTGGTCATTTAGTCACTGCGACCAATCTTCGATTATTTCAATTAATCGGACCACCACTAGTTGACACATGTCATCGGTTCCCAATTGCGCAGATCAATACTCATGTTGTTGATCACTGGATTGTCTGGTCCAGACTCGATTATTTACAGACAGCCGCAATATAGCTGGAATATTGCTGAGTGCGGGCGTAAAATAAACTCACTCACTCACTCACTCATAACAATAATTGCCTTTTGGAATGCGACCCTGATATCTATTAATTCTTTCAGGACTCATACCGTCTGTGGACATAGATAAAGGGCCAGACGCTCTGCATCCTGGTACCCAGGTTCAGACAGTTGGGGCTGGGCAGGTAAATGGTCCACAAGTGATCAAGGTGATGCCGGACGGTTCCAAGGTGGTAATGAACTCTCAAGGAAGTGCTGGACAGCGTCAGACATCTCTTCTACAACATGCAGTTCAGATTCCACAACATGTGCTGCAGCAGATGTATGCAAGTAAGTTGCCATGGTTACTACATAAAATTGGGATTGCACTGGGCATGGAATGAGTACTGGTCAAGTGATTTCTAACACAAGCAGTCTGTTATCTGGTCTGTATACCTCAGAAATGGTTTTCACAGGTGGTTCATTAAAGGTGACATAATGAATCATACTTGGTGACTTGGTTGTTGAGGTGTCATCATGCCTAATGTTGGTCATATTGTCAATCATTGGATCTTGTTCAGACTTGATTTGGGCAGTGGGGTGGCCAAATGCTGAAAGTGTTGACACTCTGAAGACCCAGGTAGTATGTGTGAAGATAATTGCAGGAATATTGCTAAAAGTGTCATGAAACCTCCGCTAGCTTCCTTGCTTAATCAAAACCCAGGCACCCAAACCCAGCCACCCAGCCACTCCCTCCTCCTCCCTCCCCCTCCCTCACTCACTCACTTATATGATGGCATCATGAATATAGAAGAATATGAGAAGAAGTTTATTCAGTATTCAAGGCCTCGTGGCCGAAAGTACAGAAGTGTCTATACATAATTTCAGTGCGATATGGACATCGAAGTGATTATTTACATGTAATTCAAATTAAATTGGTAGATTTTGTTTAAAAAAGATTGCAAGATTTTTTTACGCATTCTAGATTTTGCGAAGACATTAACAAATTAAACTTTTCATGTGTGAGATAGGTATAAAAATAGCTTGGTAACAACAGTTTCCTGCTTTCATCATAGTATAGACAGACCAATAAAAAGTGAAATTCATATAGTAACACAATGGTGACATTCTTGCACAAGTTTGTTATGTGAAAGATATAAATCATCTCCATTGATTTGGGTTTTAATGGGAAAAACAGGGGTGTAAGAAATAGCCCTCTCTCCTAAGGGCAATGCCCCATTCCTGACTCTAGTGTTTGTGTTTGACCAAGATCAAGGAAAAGGGTTTTATCAGACTTATAAATGCAAGAAATACCAGAAAGAATATATATACATCTCGATGCCTGATAGCAGTGACATTAAACTCTTTTCTGTGCCTGTGAGTAAGACCACATACAACATGCAAAAACTGAAATCATGACATGTTTGATTGGATACTCTTTATCTCCTGCCCTATTGGGTAAGTGGGAAATCCTCCAAGGAGGTCTTACACTTAAAATGTAACAGCTCCAAGCAGTTAAATGTACCTCTCACTAGGTTAATATGATGATCTTTGTGTACGGTAGTCAGATAGATAGCTATGAAAATATTGTTACTCCAGTAAACAGAACATTAATGAATAATAATACCTGAGTAACTCTAAGCAAAGCTGTACATTAGTAATGTGACAAGTTACTGTCATAATGAAAGGTGAACAATAGCTGTCTGTAAACACTGTAATATGGTCAAAATAGTGAAAAATGGAAGTACATATTCCACCCTTTTGTTTCAGCTAACCCCCAGGCCATGCAGCTGTATGGAGGCAGGATGACTGGGGCAAGACTCAGGGAAGTCACCTCCATCACAAAGGAGGCTCTTGAAAAACTCCACAAGTAAGTGGTGAACAGTGATGTGATGCTGGGCATCTTGAGAGGGTGATCTGATGGGCATCTTTAAAGGGAGACTACACTGTTGTGATGCTGGGCATCTTTAAAAGGAGAGGGTGATGTGATGCTGGGCATCTTTAAAGGGAGACTACTCTGTTGTGATGGCTTTAAAGGGAGACTAGGGTGTTGTGATGGGCATCTTTAAGGGAGACTACACTGTTGTGATGCTGGGCATCTTTTCCAAGTTGTGATCTGGGCATTGTGATGCCAGGCATCTTTCAAGGGAGACTAGTCATTTGTGCTGCTTGGTGTCCTCAAAGGGAGACTACTCTGTTGTGATGCTGGGTGCTTTTAAAGGTCACATAAACCCTAGGGGTACAAATACATAAATCACTAACTGGCATCGTTATAAATGAAACCCCGTCATTAAAAACTACTCATTTCGACCTTTAATTGACTTAAATCGACCTTTTGACAACAGTGCACAATTCTCACCCACAACTAAATTTCAACCAATCAGAGCGGCGTCTCTGTGACGCCATATGAGGAATAGCTTTGAGGGTCGATGCAGAATTCATCTACATTTTAGGGGTAAATTATCTTGTTTACAGGCTTGTATAAACCTGAAATCGCGGATAATTGTTGTGGAAAATGAAAGCTATATGTTCTCACAATCTACTGTCATTTAATTTTGTCTCCTGCTTTGCCTAGTTTCCGAGTTACAACTTGTTTTCATAGACGATTCTGTCAAAATCGATTGGTGTCGTTAGGCCCTATTTGTATAATGACTGATCTAAATTGATCCCATTTCTGTGTTTTTTTACCTCGATATTTAATCATGTCATGTAAAAATCTGTTTGTATTCTCAAAACAGTGTCGGCCCATAAGTTTTCACATGCAATACAGCAATTAATACTCCCTTGTTGTAACCCGTGTTAGGTGGTATAAACCTACACATGTTATTTGTCATCATTCACTTGATGGTCAGTTAATGAATTTATAACAGGTATAATTAGTGGTAACACACTTAGATTACCCGACAAAGGTTCCCATTTGGCATTTCTTGTGTCTGGAGTAAATATTCAACATTATAAACATCGATCAAAGGATTAACCGATAACACGCTGATTGATTAATTACTTTTATCTTACACAGCGGAATTGTCAAAAGGTAGTGTTTATGTATGTAGATTTACTAATCTATACTGAATACACTCTGTCGTGTCGGTGTTCTGCGTAAAACAACGTGCTTCGCTCAAAGGATTAACCGGCAATACATTGATTGATTGCCCATTATTGGCTAACTAATTTACTGTTTTAAAGAAAGGCGGACATTATGCAATTAGTTGCCAGGTGTGCTATCTTGGGTGACCAATGAGACTATACACCAATACCTGAAAAGATTGATCACTTTTTCGTATATTAAACTGTTAAATCGACACATCATTTGGAACAGTTTTGTGGATATTGATGGATACATTCCTCTAACAAGGTAATGGCCTGATATTGTTCCTATAACTTTAATCTGTTTTAATTTTAATATTTGCATTTTGTTTTATTCATTTGTCGTAGCATTCAACAGAATCATTGTTTTCGCCACGTGAAGTGTAATGAGACAGACAACATACACTAGGGTGTGTGTGTGGATTATGATTCACATTGGCAAACTATAAAATGTCTAGCTATTACAGTTCTGTTATAAATTCACTATAAGTATCAGCAGATCGCCTGCTTTTATTTAGTTTCAAAATGCATACAAGTATGATAATAAACTAATTAGGATTATAAGACCAAATATAAAGACGCACATTGACTAGTATCTACATACTGGTGAGTGGACATTAACCATGTGAATGTAGCAAGAAATTTATCGCCAAGAGTATTGTAACTTCGACCCCACCTCGCCTCCGCGGAAGAAATCGTTATGTTATAAGTTGTGTCATGCATAATCCGCTTTGGTTATGATTCCAATAACTATTTAACTCACGAGTAGAAAGTAGTTTTGATTTTCTAACTTGATGAAAACAAACTATAATCTCATTAATTCTAACAGACTTTACGATTTTTCAAAAATGGCGGTATGAACTCTGTCAGGAACATCCGCCAGTCTGAGGATAAATGCTATTTAGGTTTGTTTTCACCGAAGTTAGCAAAATCAAAACTATTTTCTACTGGTAGTAAAATATTTATTTTATTGATGGCCAATAGGATTTTGCATGACATAGCGTATAACATAACAATTTCTCTCCTGGCAGCCAGGTGGGTGTCAATATAATACTACTTACAATATTATTGTTACTCGACCACAACCTCACTTCCGAGGAAGAAATCGTTATGTTACAAGTTGTGTCATGGAAAATCTTTATGGTCATCAATCATATACATATTTTACTACAACTAGTAAGTAGTTTTGATTCTTTAACTTCCGTGAAGCGATCTGAACACAAGTAAGATATCGCTTCAGTCTTCCACAACGCCGCCCAAGACTCACAAACATAACCCATTTAGCACCTAACTGCGGGTTCTGTGGAAATCTGTGAATGGTGACACCATCGCCCGACCCCTAGGAGCAATTGACGACAAAGCAACCATTCGGCATGTCGCCGTTGATGTCGAGAAATCATCAAAATGATGAGCATGCTACACACTTTCTATACAACTAACTGAAAATCGTTCCTCATATGACGCCACTGCAGTGCTCTGGCGACAGAGTTACGTAACTCCTGTCTGTGGTTTTCATTGGATGAGAGAGAAGCAGGCGACTTTTGGCCACTTTTAATCGCCGGTATTAATTAACCACAAGTTTTAAAGAATAAATTTTGTCTTTCCGCATAAGACTAACCACAAATCTTTCATATGTAATGGTTAAAAGAGTAACAAAAACAAAGTTTAGTGGTTCTTTAAAAGGGACTACTCTGTTTTGATGCAAGGTGTCTTCAAAGGGGGACTACTCTGTTGTGAACTTGCCTGTTGTGATGCTTGGTGTCTTTAAAGAGGACTAGAGTGTTGGGATATAAGGGATATAAATGGGACTAGTCTTTTGGAATGCCAAGTTTCAGTGTTTAAGAACAAACCAAGCCAAACTACTGAAGATACCTATGTATTAGCTTTTGTTGACTTAGATGAAATCCAATATCAATGATGACCTGATGGTTTACTGTACTATATAATATGGATTATCTCCCCTGTTTCCAGGCAGTTAGAGTCATGTCCCTCGGAGGACGAGGAGTTGGAGGACCCCAAGGGGTTGACCGTCCCCCTCATGATCCACCAGAGACAGGCCCTAGCCTGGATGGCATGGAGAGAGAAGCAAACGCCTTGTGGAGGAATTCTGGGTAGGCCTACTGGATACAGCTTTTTGAGAAAAGGGGTGTGCACACTTCATTTTCACCCGTTTTCACGAGTTTCAATGGTCATTAAATAAACTTTCAGGACAAAAGGTGCGCAACCCTGCACCGGCCCTCTGGATCTGCCTATGGTCTCTGCAGTACTTCTGTTAAACATGGTTACTATAACCTGGAGTATTTCAGTATGTAGACATTGTGTTTTAAAAGCAAAATTACAGGGATCATTTGTGGATAACACAACAAATTCCCCCTTCTGTCCATCATGTTAATTGCTTTTGTATTGTAACAAATGTTGAGAAGCTTTGTCTATCACTTTTCAAAGTGACAATAATGTTACTGATTTCATATTCTTTACTACTGTACTTATTCATAAGAGTTGCCATAAAAATGTTTCTGTGGCTGTGGAGTTTATAACATATCTCACTTGGTGTGTGCATGCTTGAATTTCACAGTATAGTCTCTTGGGTACTGTAGATGTAGTTATTTCTTTCTGTCAAATATACGCTGCACTTGCATTTATCAACAGAACTATGGTGTAACTATATTATAATATCGTCAATAAGCCAATCAGAATGCAGGGTTATAGCATGTCACAATATTACAAACGTTATCTCACAGCTGTGTTTTGTTTGCAGCTGATGATATGGGACTTGGGAAGACATTGACAATGATCTCACATGTTGTGAAACAGCGTGAGAAACATGAAGCTGGCACTGATGAGGAAAAGTCTGCCTGGCTCAACAGAGACAAGGAGCTACAAAAGTGTAAGTTGGAGTGCTGTTTTGCTCAGTCTGTAACCACCTCCAGGACTTCATGCCATTAGATTTAGCTGTCATGGGAGTGGCTATATACTTCTCTAAACAAAACACCTGATTGTTTCATATTGATGCAGCTAATCTGTTATGGTTTGAGTGAAAGAATCCCAGATTCTACGTGTACGGTCAATTAATGTGTCATGTAACTTCTTTATCTGTCTTTATGGCTGAATGTGTACCGTTGGCAAATTACTGATGATGTCTTGCATTCACTCAATCCATGTTTGCTGACAAAACAGTGTCTCTGCACTCATAGTCCATCATTGTATGGGGTGTTTTGCACCAATGTTGCCTTTCTCCACGTTGCAGATCTCCACATGTGATGTTGACTTAAGATAATCGTGACAGCAACATTAACATCATAACATATGTTGCAGTTATTATTTATGTGTGTCATAACAAACTGTTTCCACACCCTTGAAGGTCCAGGTTAAAATGAACCTTCAGTAACCCATGCATGTCGTAGGAGGCGACTAAAGGGATCGGCTGGTCAGGCTCGCTGTCTTTGGTGACACATGTCATCAGTTCCCAATTGCGCAGATTGATGCTCATGCTGTTGATTACTGGTTAATCTGGTCCAGACTCGATTATTTACAGACCGACGCCATATAGCTGGAATTTGCTGAGTGTGGCGTAAAACTCACTCACTCACTCACTATGTTCACAGTGGATGCGTCAGTCGTGCCGTCACGTGCAACTCTTGTGGTGTGTCCGGCGTCACTCATCTACCAATGGCAGAAGGAGATTGAGAAGCGAACACGATCGGGACTTCTTAGAGTTGAAGTCTACCATGGTGCTAACAGGGAGAGAAATATCCTCAAGTAGGTTAACGGATCAGTAGTGTCACTACCTAGATTCTATGATTGACCCTTACCTGAATAACTGTTCAGAATCAGTACTCATTTTGGACTTTACTCTCACATGAAGCATGATACTCTGTGTTTACAAATTCGCAGGCTTGCAAAGTGCGATATTGTACTGACCACCTACAACATTGTCAGCAAGGAAGTGGGCGTGGTCAAAGGGGAGAGTGCAGATGAACCTGTAACCGATGACAACAAGGTTAAAAAGGTAAAGAGGTGCTATTATTCTTGAGTGCATACTAGTATTTGACAGGATATTAATTCACACTTGGCACTGTGTCAGCAGACCTGTGAAGATCCGGGGTAGAATAGGTCTTCAGCAACCCATGCTTGCCCCAAAAGGCGACTATGCTTGTCGTAAGAGGCGACTAAGGGGATCGGGTGGTCAGGCTCGCTGACTTGGTTGACACATGTCATCGTTTCCCAATTGTGTAGATCGATGCTCATGCTGTTGATCACTGCATTGTCTGGTCCAGACTCGATTATTTACAGACTGCCACCATATAGCTGGAATAGTGCTGAGTGCGGTGGAAAACTCAACTCACTCACTCACTGTGTCAGCATGTTTAACATGGATGTGATTGCCTTTGAGGTCCAGTAAAAAGAGAATTTGGCCCTGAGAGTGGGATGCTCGTTGTTTGAATCCCAGGCTGTGTCACAGCTGAAGATGTTAGAAGATGGTACCTGTTGTCACCCTGTCTGGTGTGGGGCTATAAGGGGATTAAAATGTGTGCATATAATGTTTCTGAGTAAAGTATTCCTTTGAAACTGTGGAATGCGCAGTGGGCCAGTACAGATATTCTGTCATTAATTCAGGCTTGTACATGTAGCAATGCATGCATGCATGCCTGTCACAATGTATGTGAAATAATCTTGGATGTGCCGTTAACCCCGCTTGGTACCTAGTAATTGATATATCTTAAAGTATACACAATTTATTTCATCACTTTTGTATTAGGATCAGCAGTATTATGTAGACATTCCTCAACTGCGATAACTTGCTGTATCAGGATTCGGAGGACAAGGCAGGCCCGCAGCCGATGATGCTGCGGATTGGATGGGAGAGAATAATTCTAGATGAGGCTCACAACATCAAGAACCACAAGAGTCTGACTGCCATGTCTGTGTCCAAGCTGCGAGCTAATTTCCGCTGGGCTCTGACTGGAACACCCATACAGAATGATCTCCTTGATATGTACTCTCTGCTCAGGTGAGACCAACGACCTTTGTACTTGGGTGAAGCTAACGACCTGCTGTTCTCAGGTGAGACCAAACCTTTAAAGATCTGGCTTGGTCTTCAGTTTATTGCAAGAGGTGGCTAATGGGATTGTTGGGCAGGCTTCCTCACTTGGTTCAGTACATGTCATTGTAGCCCAGTTGTGTACATTGATGAACATGATGTCAATCACTGGATTATCTGGTCCAGACTGAATTATTTACAAACCACCGATATACAGCTGGAAAATAGCTTTAAACAAACAAACAAACAAACAGGTGAGACAAACAACCTTTGTCCAGTTGGTAAGACATGCACAGTGTTGAAGTCTGAACTAACTGAACATCATTGAAAACGCACCACTTATAAAAGTTCAGATTATTAAAAGCACGTGTAAGGAATTGATATTTTTTGAGTGGAAAATAACAGATGGACGACTGACAAAAACAACAACACAGAAAAGACGCTCATTCATTGAAATGTTCCACAGTCAGAGAGGATCAAACACACGTGGGGTCAAATCGAAAAGTGAATATCGCGTGTGACCGCCATTTGCATTGACACATGCAGTTCAACGTCTCCTCATTGAGTCAATAAGCATCCGAATAGAGTTATTGAGGATGGCATTCCACTTCTGCAGTAGTGCAGCCTTAAGTTCCTGGATGTTTCTCATCTGTTGTCGCCACGAAAGACTTTGACCAATTTCGTCCCACAAGTGCTCCATGGGGGATACATCTGGCGACTGTGCTGGCCAATGAATAACCTGGATGTGTTGCTTGGCCAGATACTGCATGGAAAGTCTTCTTGTGTGTGCCCGTGCGTTGTCCTGTTGAAAAGTATGGACATCTTGGTGGTGATTGAAGACAGATACGATGTGATTCTGAAGCACGGTAATAAAGGGCATTAACTCTCCCTTGACAGACATGAAGGCAGTCCTGTGATTGTAACTTATTCCAACCCAGACCATGACACTCCCACCACCCAAAGGTCTGTCTGAACCACACACTCATCGGCATAACGTTCACCACGTCTATTCCAAACACGTAATCGGCCGTCAGCACTGCGTAGATGAAGACGAAGATGAAGGTCCAACGTAAGGACGTCGAGCATGGAGCCCTGTAGCAAGTAGATGGCGTCGCATGGAGTCAGCGCTGATGACCCCCACGTCAACCTTGAACTAGTGCAGCAGTCCTGGCAGTCAGCAGTGTTCAATCACTGATATGGACAAGGTCAATATGGCGATCCTGATGGAGCGTTGTAACACGTTGTTGCCAAGGTCATTGAAGGTTACGGGTGGTGCCTGTCTACTGATGTCGTCTATGAAGCCTAATGATGGTGGAGTTGTCGAGCAATATCCCTGCTGCTGGTGCCAACCTGAATCATGCCTAGTGCAAGTTCTCTTTCGTGAGGTGTTAACCTCCGCATCTCTGTCCTCGTTTCACAATCGTTAGTAAAGCAATGAGAATCGGCTCTCATACACCTGCTTTTAATGTCACAGTCAGTATGATTTCAGACTGAAATTCACGCTTTTTTCGTGGCGTGGCTGCATGTTGATGCATTTTGGAGTTAAGAGTCATACTGTGGACAGGAATTTGTTTCTAAAGCATTTTTTCAACTGGACATGCCCTTCGACTTCATGTTAGTTATATTCATTGATCATTGTCATGCTGAAATCCATCTTGATGAAAATACGGACAATTTTAGACTGGTGCGTTTTCAAGGATGTTGAGTATATTTGCTTGCCTTTTCTGACTTGTCTGGTGTTGAAGGTTAGTTAGTCTTGTAGATATGCTATATTTAATGGGGGTGGTGGGATTGCCTAGTGGTTAAAGCATTCACTCGTCAAGCCGAAGACCTGAGTTCGATTCTCCACATGCATACAATGTGTGAAGGCCATTTCTGGTGTCCTACGTTGTGATGTTCCTGGTACATTGCTAAAAGCGGCGTAAGACCATACGCACTCACTTACTATATTTAATGTCTAGTTCTGAATTGGTTGTAATTGCCAAGCTTAGATATCACTGACTAAGTTGATATTTTTGGTCTGAAAAATTGTTTCATTGAAACATCCATTGAGTTCAAATAAAAGAAAATCTTTCTGTTCTGAAATGATAATGAATGTGTATTTTTAGATTTCTCCGATGTTCCCCGTTCGATGAGTACAAGGTATGGAAGAAACACGTGGACACAGGGAAGTGTAAGTTACACCAAATAACTCTCTACTGGTAATAACCTCTCATGGCCATATCTACAAGTACTTTTCTTATATATCTTGTCTTGATCTTTTCAAGATCTTTAATTCATTCGTCAACTGAACTTTATAACTCCTTCTCCCACCTGTAGTCTTTCCTTATGTCATTCCATGTGTATTTTATGTAGAGATGAGTGTTTGAAATAAACTAGATGTAACATTCATTATTTTAATCAAAACTTAGTATTCCTGTGGGGGTAGTGGTTAGCCTAGTGGTTATAGCTCGTCATGCTGAAGACCCGGGTTCGATTCCCCTCATGGTTGCAATATGTGAAGCCCATTTCTGGTGTTTCCTGCTGTGATATTGCTGGAATATTGCTAAAAGCGGCGTAAAACCATATTCACTCACTCACTCGTATTCCTGTGATTTAAGTGACTGTAGCAAGTAACAGTTCAGGGTAAGGTAGAATGTGTGGCCTTGCTTATTGTGTGCAATGGTACCCCAACAATAGAGATAGGTGCTGATGCTGTCTACCACTGGTTCAGCTGACATGATTATACACAGGTCATCGCCCGACATCCAGACTATTTATGACTGTGGTTTCGGGTTTCTGTCTGCATGTCAGCTATGGTCTATGTTTGTGAAGGGATTTGCTTGATTATTTCCACAGCTCATGGCACCACGAAACTGAACACCATCGTCAGGTCACTGTTGCTGCGACGAACCAAGACCCAAACTGGGAAGGGGGGGAAACCACTGGTGAGCATCCAAGTCTACCTTCGGTTTAGACACACAGCATTAGGTGGTCTGAAATAAGTATGTAAACGGTGTACAGAAAGATTTGACTGTCTGAAGTAAGTATGTCAACTGTCTGAAATAAGTATGTAAACGTGTACAGAAAGATTTAACTGTCAGTATGGTAAGAAAGAATTAACTGTCTGAAATAAGTATAAGCGGTGTACAGAAAGTAACTGTCTGAAGTAAGTATGTAAACGGTGTACAGAAAGATTTAACTGTCTGAAGTAAGTATGTAAACGGTGTACAGAAAGAATTAACTGTCTGAAATAAGTATGTAAACGGTGTACAGAAAGATTTAACTGTCTGAAATAAGTATGTAAACGGTGTACAGAAAGAATTAACTGTCTGAAGTATGTAAACGGTGTACAGAAAGAATTAACTGTCTGAAGTAAGTATGTAAACGTTGTACAGAAAGAATTAACTGTCTGAAGTAAGTATGTAAACGGTGTACAGAAAGAATTAACTGCCTACAGTAAGTATGTAAACTGTCTGCTATTGATATAACTGTTTGCTGTAGTGTGTAAAATATTTATGACAAGAGAATGAGGTGAGATAGTTGTGAGACAAATTCAACAATTTGTGTTGACCGTTGTTTGTTTTCTCTGTCAGGTGAATCTGCCCTCGAAGACAGTAGAAACAGCTGAGGTACAGCTGACACCAGAGGAGAGGAAGATATATGACAAAGTCTTTGCCCAGACAAAGTAAGATGTTTTTATTTGTTAGCACGAACTAATTGGGCAGCTCAAGTTTTAAACAACCTGCCAAGTTTTTCTATTGCATGTGTACAGTTCTGTCTTTGGTGTTTATATTTTTTAATAACATGTTTAAATGACTTCGCAGACTATTTGTACACTTTCTTGTAAATGTTTTGGTTAAGTAAGTCAGTGACATGGTCAAAATTAATTATAATGGCATGTTTGACATAGGTTCTGAGTGATTTCAGGCTTCTGTTGGAAATCTGTTCTGTGACCATATGTTGTGATGATGGGATAAATATACTGTCACACAAGTAATCTGGACAAACACATGCAAAACTACGAACATGTTAACATGCTGAATTAAGCGACTTACTGAAAAATTCAGATAACCATGTATTTCTTTCAATGAAGACTGATGAATATGGAGTGTGTTGTTACAATTTACACAACTTGGTCTTCAAATTCTGTCTATCAAAACCTGTTCAAAGCCCATCTGTTCCAGGTCGACTGTGCAGGACTACGTCAAACGGCACGAGGAGAAGGAGATGGGGATAAGTCGAGGTACCTCCGAGTCGTCGTCCAACCCCTTCAGGGACAGCAGCTCACAGAGCATGAAGGGAGGGGCGTGGAACTCCCATGGGGCGGGTTTGACAATGTCCCTCAGCCACAAGCAAAGAAGGCAGGAGCGAGCGAGTTGTTGGTTCTCCTGCTGCGGCTACGCCAATGCTGCTGCCATCTCAGCCTTATGAGAGATGTAAGTAGAAATGTTGTCTTCTTTACCATTTCACCATGAGTAATTATCTGCTTTCCACTCTACATGAGCAATGACTTTTAATATGGTGGGTTGTGATCGCCTTATTCATTGCACTGCAAGATATGACCTCTTTTATCACTGGAACTTAGCCAGGATCCCTTTTATTATTGCACTGGAAGTTAGATCTCCTTTATCGTTTCACTGCAATTTAGGGGCGATTGGGTAGCCTAGTGGTTAAAGCGTTTGCTCGTCACGCCGAAGATCTTGTTTCAATTCAGCACATGGGTGCAATGTAGGTGTGAAACGGTATACCGCGGTATCAGTAGAACCGTGGTATTTTGCCTTCGGTTCGGTATACAGTAATGCATAGGGGCGAAATGGTATGCCACGGTATTAGTAGAACCATGGTAATTTGCCCTCGGTTCGGTATAACCAGTAGATATATAATTAAATGGATGTTCTGTTATTGTAGCACATTGAGCAGGAGACAATGGAGAATGAGGGCATCGAATTGACCTTGGAGGAACAGATGAAGGGCATGATGTTGGATGAGATGTCAGCAGGGGAGAATGGGGCCAAGGCTGAGTCGTCTCCCTTGTTTGAGAAGACTTCATTAAGCACAAAGGTATATTGTCCTGACACCAGTCCCAGACAAATTAAGGAAGAAAAGCTCACCCCGCTTGTAAATGTGGCATCACTGATCTTGTCATTAATTATGTTTTTGTTTCAGTTGAAAGAGTTGATGTCTACGCTGCAAGCAATTAAGAAAGAGAGTGAGCCAGGATCAGTGATAAAGAGGTGAGATACAAGCTTTTAACACATGTCAGGGTGAACAGGAACACTCCAGATGATCTTGATTAAACATTCAGAGGTTCCGACAACCAGTGAATATAGACTTCACCATTCACTCAGCACCATAATGGCCCAAGTTTCTGCTGATTGTTTAAATCATGCCTGGCTGTCACAAACCTGGTGAACTTGAATGACATTTGCTGTTTGGAGCCTTCCCCCAACATGAATTGACAACATGGATATAACTGAAATACTGCCCTGAGAGGTGTTAAACTAAACTTTACAATAGTCCATATGGGTGGCATTGGAAACTCTCAATACTTTATGTATATTGTGTAGTGTGGTGGTGTCGCAGTGGACGAAGATGCTGGACATCGTTGCCGTGCACCTACGGAAGGTCAACATCTCCTTCAACATAATACAGGGCAGCGTCCCTGCAAAGAAAAGGATCGAAATGGTGGAGGAATTCAACACCAACCCAAAAGGGGCAGAGGTTAGTAAGAGTAACATGAGTCAACAAGACTGATTGCATCTTGCTATTTTGTAGAATATTGTAGTATATATATATACAATTTATAGTTAAAATTTCCAATTTTGAACAAATTTCCCTGCCAAGGTCAATTTCATCCCATTCCTGGATAAGTAGCTGAGACTGCCATGATAGCACATGATGTAAATATTGGCCTCAATAGCTTTGGTTGAATATCTCTAAGGGAGATAACTCTCAATATTGCCTATTTCCAGGTGATGTTGGTGTCGCTGAAGGCTGGCGGTGTTGGCCTCAACCTCATTGGTGGGAGTCACCTGTTTCTGTTAGATAACCACTGGTAAGAGCACAAGCAGTCTCACATATATTCTCCACATATCTGTAGGACTTGTACTAGAGTGGCAGTGGTGTACAGTGGCGTATCCAAGGGTGGGTGGGTGGTCGATGCGTGCGTGCGTTTGTTTCAGGGGGTTCGAAGCCCCCCATTTTGAAAATGACTAAAGACCACATTGAAGTTAATATTTTGAATTGGTGGAGCCATGGGGAGGTTCAGGGGGTTTAAACCCCCTGAAGCCCTCCCCTTTGAAAATTCCTGGATCCACCTATGGTGTAGCCTGGTGGTGCAGGTGCTTCATTCCCATAGATAGCCTACCCTTAATGTGTAGTGTTTTGGTTTGAAGGACTGGGTACCGTGTGGTGAACCACATGTCACATGTCGTTGGCCTGTGGCAGAGATACTTGGTTTTCGACAAGGAAGTCAGGTAGGAGATTATAACATTTGGTGATGAAAGTCTATGTTTGATGTGTGTTTTACCTAATGGCCACCCACTGTTGTACAGGAACCCGCCCTGGAGGAACAGGCCTGTGACAGGATCTACCGTGTTGGTCAGCAGAGGGATGTTGTTATACACAGGTCAGTCTCCTCTATACACATGCTCTCTGTTAAGTCATATCTTGCTGCACAACCATGACCGGACTGGAACGTCCTGCACAAAACAATCTGAGTGCTAATAATAATAAAAATTCTAACAAATGTGTGGAACAAGGTTTAATTCAGTGAGATTGCATTTGGTGAAATAAAAAGTTAAAGCTGACATATCACTTTTTGTTTCCTTATCTTTTTCCCAGATGTGAGAACTTTTTCTCACCCAGTAACATTAAACCTACCTGCTACTTATTACCTCAAACTTATTGCTTTCTTATCCTAACTGACTCCCCGGTGTCTCATCACCCACTTGTAACATTCTTGACCACCCAAAATTAGCCAAACAAACTGTTTGTTTTGTTTCATCCCTCTTCTTACACTACCCTTCACCTTTAAAGTATTTAATTATGAAACTGTTAAATAATTCATTGAGGCTTGGTGTATGAATAAAGAAGGTATTCATGCGATATTTTACCAATGTTTGCGTTGTCTGAGAAACAAGGAACTGTTTGTAGGTTCCTGTGTAAAGACACGATTGAGGAGAAGATCCTGGAACTACAGAAAAGGAAACTCTCTCTAGCCAAGAATGTCCTCTCAGGGTACGTCAACAACTCTCATTACCCACGTCCTTCCTGTTCATTATATTTAGCAATATGTTTGTTCTTCTCTGTGTGCATATTGGTGGTAGATGGTAGCCGAGTGGACAAATCATTGGCTTGTGATAACAAAAGTCCTGGGTTCAGTTCCCACAATGGTTGAATGTCAAATCATTGGCTTGTGATAACAAAAGTCCTGGGTTCAATTCCCACAATGGTTGAATGTTGAACCATGTGTCAGAAGTTCTGGAATATTACTAAGGCAGTATAAAACCCTCCTAATACACTGTTCATTTAGCGACATCCCATGAAGCTCTGCATGGACTTGGTCTTCAGCAACCCATGCTTCTTACTGACATGTCATCACATCCCACTTAATATGTGACCGCCTCCGTGGTGTAGTGGTTAGAGCGTCCGCCCAGAGTGCGGAAGGTCGCGGGTTCGATCCCCGACCGCGTCATACCAAAAGACGTTAAAATATGGTACTTGTTTATCCCCTGCCTGGCGCTCTCGGCATTAATGGGTACAACAAGGACTGGTCGGCTTGGAGTCAGTATAATGTGTCTGAGTGGGGTATTCATGCTTCACTGCGGCATGGTATCTCAGTGGGCTAGCACTATAAACACCAGCTTAAGTCTGGGCTAGTATACAAGCAGCCGTACATACACATACACATGCATGCACGTCGTCATATGAGCGAAATATTCTCAAGCACGACGTTAAACCCAATTCCACCACCACCACCGCCACTTAATATGTTGATGCGTAGTCATGTTATTGTCTGTTCCAGATTCAATTAATTAATAGACTCCTCATATAGTTAAAATAATGCTGAGTGTTGTGTTAAATAACAAACAAGCTTATGGTGTCTCACAAATTCATTTGCTACTGTTCTGTAGTGGTTAGGAGATTTGTGTTAGATTCCCACCTGGATACAATGCATGAAGTCACTTTCCAGTCTCAGCACCTATATATTGCTGGAATATAACTTATACAGTATATGTGGCAATGTTGTTTATGTGCTAATGTGTGATACTGTAGCAGATATATATTTTCTCTTTCCAGATCTGGAGCAAGCAGTCAGAAGCTGTCACTGGCTGATCTACGGCAGATGTTTGGTGTTTAACCTTACTGTAGAGATAGTGTATTAGTCTATATGTAGATATGGGAACTGGGATATTTATTAATCAACTCCCTCACTCACTCTAGAACCAAGGTAATGTTAAATAGTAGACACAAAGAGAGGCTTGAAAGAAGGAATGAGAAGGTGAAAGAAGGAATGAGAAGGTGAAAGAAGGAATGAGAAGGACAAAGAATGAATCATGGACGGTCTTGCCGCTATACCAGTATATTGCAAGATGTTTTTTGGACCATATACATTGTAAGATGATCTCTGTGTTCCTTTATGTCCTGGGTCTCCTTCAACAAAGATCTCTCTCTGAACTGACTGTCATGAATGTTTGACAATAATGTGCTTAGACATTTTAATGGGCTCTCTGGGAGACTGTGAAGCATTTTTTAGTCTAAACATGTCATATTTATTTAGGTGTTTTGCTAGGTACCGAATTTTTGTTACTTTAGCTTGCATATGTGTGCTATTTATTTTTCTGTTGAATATTTGCAAGTGCTCCAGTTTACTGCTATATTTGTACATAGCTCACTCTCATATGCAATAGACATATCAATTATGTTCTTTCAATTGTGAAAAATAGGAAGTGCCATGTAACGCTTGTATCAACAAGATCATATTTTGCTGACTGAAGGTCTGTGTGACACAGGCAGGGATATAAAGCCCATTTCTGGTGTCCCCCGCCGTGATGTTGCTGGAATATTGCTAAACGCGGCGTAAAACCAAACTCAGTCAGTCAGTCAGTATAAAGTCAGGACACAGAAAAAAATGTGGGCTGCACAGATACCTCCTCACCTTCATGAAGTACCTCTATCTGGAACTATCTGGAATAGAAACTCAGACTACACTATGTTTCATTTCAATTTCAATTGACTATTGACTATTTATTGCTGACTATTTATTCTGTCTATGTGAATAAATATTTCAAACATGCATACTGCTTTGTTGTATGAGTCTCATGAAGATGTGCATGGACCTCCAAGAATAAGCTGTTTTAGTTTTAGACTTTTTTTGTTTTAGTTTTAGTTTTTAGTCGTATCTGTAGCTTCTGTTACAGTAGCTCCCACAATCACTGGCTATTGGGGATTAATTAACATGTGTGAGCCCAGGACTGTCAAAATTGGGACGAGGGTAAGCTCACTGTCATAATTGTCACAACTGGCTAGATCAATTACAGAAGTGTGAAATTTCACTGTCAAAGTCAGGACTAAACCAGTCAAAAGTTTCCTAGGGACTTGAATCTGCCTGGAGAATGCTTAGGCACTGCAATTTGCTGTATGCTGCCTGGGGTTTCAGAAACATTTTATCATGCGTTTTGTGGGTGAAGCATTGAAGCACCTTACACTTCTAAGTTGATGCTATGATGGGCGAGATGCTTTGGTAGAGCACCCTTACAGCTGTGAATATGTTGTCATTCTTAGAACAGTTTGGAATTTTTTTTTAAAACATAAGTTAATTCCGTGTCAAAGCATACACACAAGGCTTACTGTATAAATAAAGGACAGTATATTCATAAGGACAATATTGGTTGTTATGAGATGAGGGCAAACTTTTCCTGTGATAGGAGATAGGATATTTTATGTGCGCTTCATTTGTCCATTTACTGGTAAAACAATGGGTTCTATTGTTCCTATTTGCAATATATTTTTGTCAGCTCTACAAATATCACCTAACATCTTGATCATTAGATTATAAGACAGTGTTTGTTCGAATTTGATAAATAAATGAATGTTTTTGCTGGATGATTATATGGACATAATCCAAATATAACGTTACACTTTGTTCAGTTCAAGTTCAGTATTTAGGTTAATGTTAATGAAAGTTTTAACATGTGGTCATCAGGTATATTACGGCCTGGTGCCCGTGATTTGGGTTTAACTCTGGCGCCAGCAATCCATGCATGTCCAACAGGCAACTGAAGGATCAGGAGGTCAGACCCGGCATGTCGTGGTATTCAATGGTATCCCCATTACGTAGATCGACGTCAACCAATTGCTTGTCTGCTCCTGACTTCGTTATTTACAGACCGCTGGGGGTATTGATGCATTCACTATTTTCCTCTTTTACTCAAACAGCGATGTGTTTCGTCAAGTAAAATGATGAACGGATTTTACCTCTATGCGTGCAACTGCTTCAGATTACATACAAAAGAAAACATGTCTACCATATATTGACCCATAGTCCAAAGAGAAACCAAGTAAGGCATTCAAAGACAGTGCACACTGATTAACTCACACTCAACAACTTGTATGGCATGCCAAGGAAGATTTTCACTGTCAATACCGTATATTACCGTATATTACCGTATATAAGCAGATCTCATAGATAAGTCGAGGTCCTAAGTTGACCCTCGAAATCAGAATCAAAATGGAATATTCCGTACATAAGCCGAATCACCAACTCTACTCGATATGGTCAGTCTTCGGAAATAGTGTCAACAAATTCATATGGAACTACGCAAGTAAATTCTGTTCTTATACCACCTAGTAATAAGGCATGTTCTTGGCTTATCTGGACTTAAGTTCGTAATCAAGTTTATCAAATTTACTCAAAATGTTCATATTCACATTAATTGCCGCGACTCGATGTCCCTCCGTAAGAGACAACATACGTGCACGAGCATCATGAAATTGTGTATCACCCTGAACTGAAGCCTATGACTAGGCTTTAAAAAAGCCCCATCAATGCTACTCCACATGCATAGCAGCCACTATAGACGACAAGAAACTGAAAAGACTGACCCAGGTCAGGACGACCTGGAGTTACCACCGCCGCCCAGAATCGCTAAATCCGGTTGAGACATTTTCCTTTGACTGCGCCGAATCTCCGACCAGACAGAGCGCAATTGGCTATGGAAAGCCAGACTTTTTCCAAGAAGACCCGTTCAACGTCCCTACATCAACGTCAACGGTTGATCTTTGGAGCATGACAGTGCTCGACCTCACGTTGCACGTGTTTGACAGGTCTTCCTGGAATATTGCTAAAAGCGGCGTAAAACCAAACTCAGTCAGTCAGTCAGTCCTCCAGCAATGTTCAGTTGTTATAACTTGGCCTTCTCGATCACCGGATTTGTCCTCCATTGAACATCTATGGGATATTCTTGATCGACGCTTGCGCCACCCCAGACACTACAAAAACTGCACACAGCACTTTAGCAAGTGGATCAAAACATTCCTCAAGACAGCATTCGGCATCTCATTTCTTCTATGGGTCACCGGGGGCGGTGGGGCAGCCTAGTGGTTAAAGCGTTGGCTCGTCACGCCGAAGACCCGGGTTCGAATCCCCACATGGGTACAATGTGTGAAGCCCATTTCTGGTGTCCCCCGCCGTGATGTTGCTGGAATATTGCAAAAAAGCGGCGTAAAACCAAACTCAGTCAGTCAGTCTATGGGTCACCGCTGCCAAGCTGTTATCGATGCTCACGGTGGTCACACCAGATACTGACATTTCACTCTGACCAAGTGGCTTCAATAATCCTCTGTGGTTTTATCAAACACTTTCTGGATAATCATGTTTTGGAAATTTGTAAAGTGATGATTTTACTATAACGGGGAATGATGTCATTTTGAATCAGTTACATGCATTCAGTAAGTAAACTCCAAAACATCATGTCAAGTTTCTTTTTTTGAAGAGTATATTTTGTTCGATATATGTCACATTTATTGTGGGGCGGTGAAGTAGCCTAATGGTTAAAGCGTAATGGGTACAATGTGTGAAGCCCATTTCCGGCGTCCCCCGCCGTGATATTGCTGGAATTTTGCAAAAAGCCGCGTAAAACTAAACTCACTCACTCATTGTGTGGGTCGATGCTCCTTATATCAATCACGACACACTTGTCCGACACACTTGCCAAGAATGGGGATAATTAAATGAACAGGGGAGACAACTCTCAGATTACACGAGTAATAATTTATTGCTCTATTACCTAACCGTGTAGCCATTTTAGCAGCACAATGGAACAAGATATTTTGTATGGATTTATAAGTAAATACTCAACACCACCAACGGTGGTATTAGAGTACAGTGTATAAATCAGGACGTTATATACATATATTGCAACTGTTAATTAACACCAGGCTGAAGGAGTGTAGAGCCAACTGAATGGCACATTGGGGAATTATACTGATGTTACTCGGATATCAAGATCAGTGCTTTACTGGTCCCGGTTTCAATCAAAACAAGAATTGCAGGCGGATCTGAAGATCCGAGAGACACTGTACCAAAGAGCAACCTGTTTCCAGTTCAGAAAGACGGTCAGCTCCTCGAATGTGTCCACTCACAGCGGGCACAGAAACCAGATCAATTCTTTAAAACAAAAACATGCATCAGTACGAAAACAGAAATCTTATAAATGCAAAAGTCTGTAATCCCGATAGATATGTACCTCTAACATTTGTCCCGGAGACGAACAGGCCTGACGAAGTTGCTGAGGAAGAAAACGACCCCTTAAAAGCATCAGTCGCGATATGGCTGAAATATTGCTGCCATGACTTTTAACTCACCCACTATCGCACCCAGAGACGGACAGGCCTGTCGACATTGCTGACATGACTTTTAAATCACCCACTATCTCACCCAGAGACGGACAGGCCTGCCGAAATTGCTGAGGAAGAAATCGTAGAAGAATACACAGAATAATCTTTACAGTCCGACTACAGAAGGTCATCTACTTGCAAGTAGACGTCCTGTACTGGCTATGTTTCAACGAGCATGAGAACTATTATTTGGTATACCCATGTGCGTGTGCGTGTGCGTGTGCGTGTGCGTATTCTAATGCTCACATTGTATGTTTATCCGGGTGAGAGCGTGGCAGCTGCATTCCTTCAAATGTTCAGCCTCTGATTGCTGGAGGGGCGGTGAGGTAGCCAAGTGGTTAAAGCGTTCGCTCGTCACGCCGAAGACCCGGGTTCGATTCCACTCATGCTTACAATGTGTGAAGCTCATTTCTGGTGTCCCCCCGCTGTGATATTGCTGGAATATTGCAAAAAAGCGCCGCAGAACCAAACTCACTCACTCACTCACATGGCTGGATCACCTACCGGTTCTCTACCGATTTAATCCCACACTCACTTATTCACTCACAAGTATACCACTCGTCTACACACTGTGAAATTGAACCTTGTTTTACTGTTAACAGTGATTTCACATTTTTCGTGAACTCGCTCTCGCTTGTCGGTGCTCCCTGTCCGCCGTACGTTTCGGGCCTGCTTCGGGCAAACTCCGAGATAGCAAGTGACAATAACGCTGATTCATTGGGCCTCCTGTCTATAAAACCACGTTGCTCTGCCGTCAGCGTTCCCGCCGTGAGTAATTTCGTGACGATCTATAAATGTTATAAAAAGTTTAAACTAACTAACACAGAATTTCAGTGTCCTTTCAAATCACACGATACAGTTAGGTATTTTGGATGAGACACATTTTGAAGGAAATCAAAGTATTCTTGTGGTTTCTACTATGAAACGTATACCATGGGTGTGGAAGTAGTTAATATAGTATCCGGGTGTCCCTAACAAACTGTAGTTGTGTTTTGTTTGTTTGTTGTAAATAATCGAGTCTGGACCAGACAATCCAGTGATCAGCAGCTTGAGCCTCGATTTACGCAATTGGGATACGATGACATATGTCAACCAAGTCGGCGAGTCTGTCCACCCGATCCCGTTAGTCGCCTCTTATGACAAGTATGGTTGTTGCTGAAGATAAATTCTAACCTTGATCTTCAAGCGTAAGCAGTAATGTAATCTCAACACAAACAAGCAGTAAGGCTGTCAGTGTAATTCATGGATACTTGGAATTTAGGCACAACTCAAATTGATAATATTTAATGTATTCAGATGGGTTAGTGATTTGGGTTTAATGCAGGACTGGACAGTAAGTCCGTATATTTCGGAGAGTCAGCTAAATCTGTTACTACACACCAGCACAGAAATGGTACTGACACACTAGGGATTAGGACGAATCTTGGATTCTGCACTACGACAAATGGGCGATACTTATGACAAGGTATAAATTAAATATTCCGTTCGATCCACCTTTGCGGGTGACAATAACATTCATAGTATATTTCTATTATTTATCTATTTATTTATTCATTTTTTCGTTTAACTTGAACTTTCTTCGCATGCATACAGTGTCGGGTGGTCCAGTGTTCGTCCATGTCGTATGTTTAGGTTGTTGAAAACCTTTCTGTCCTTTGTTGCAGACATTAACAGTTACAAGAGTGGATATTGTCTGTGTCTGTGGAAGACAGTAATGTCTGGGGTAAACGCTGTCCGTCCTCCAGACGTTGCTTGTAACAGGAATACACAAGTGTCCGTCTACTGGGTACACAGTTGTCCTACGTGGCACATATTGTCCTTTGTGACGGTCATTATCTGCCTCTCGGGTAGACATGTTTAAGTTCTGCAGTAGAGGTACGTCTCCTAGTTGGCACTGCACGTCCTCCAAGACAGAATCTCATTTGGTGTAGGTTAAGCAAAACACTCGAACAAAACAAAAACAAAACAAGAACATTTGATTCAATACGCATTAATGAATCATTTTTTCTTTAAATATCAATGTCAGTATCTTAACCTCACGAAACCTTTCGCACTGCTTTGTCACGTTAGACGCACGTGGACTATATGGCAGTTCCATTGCAGCCATTGACGGGGTTTAAAGGAATCATGCACGTGTTCTTTCCCGTTCTTCTGGTGGATACAGCGGATTCCCTCACATATATACCATCCTTACAACTGGGAACAAGGCGCCGGAACGCAGCCCTAAATTTCGAGGACAATAACCCGTAAATGATAGGGTTTCCAGCACTGTTTACATACATCATGATCCTCGCGAACGACAGTATGTTCTGATAGGTTTCAAATCCCATGTCCTCTAGGACGTTTGGAGGCATGAATATCACCAAGATGATCACCATTCTCATCGGCATCAAACACAGAAAAAACAGCGCCATTATAGCGATAAGCATGTTTACGACTTGTTTCCGGGAGTTGATTGTTTTTTTGTTGGTGTAGTCCCCTGGGTAGTTGTCGGCGGTGAGGTTGCACAGCCTGCAGATGATGCCGGCGTACATGAAGACCAGCATGCATAGCGGCAGCGCAAACAGGAACACAAAGACGAACAGGATGTACGTCTTCTGCCAGACACCTGACGTCTTGGTCCGACACACTTGTACCGTCGAGCCGTCCATGTTGAAGGTAGCGTCCTCGATGAAGGTGATGAAGACGAAGGGCAGGGACAAGACGTAGGAGACGAGCCAGATGACGGTGATGACGATGCAGGCGCTCGCCAGGTGGCACCCTCTGTGCTCCTTCAGGGGGTGGCAGATGGCCAGGTAGCGTTCGAAGCCGATGATGAGGAGGGTTAGCCCGGAGGAGTGCAGGGATGCGTGTTCCAGAAAGGGGACGATCTTGCCTGGAACAGAACAACAAACATTTACACGTGTGCGGCTTTTGTCTGTTAATTAACGCCGCAATCATCACTATTTCAGCTTTGTGACGGCAGCCTGTCAATAATCTAGAATGATCCAGACAAACCAGTGATCGATATTATGAACATATGTCCACGCCGCCAGTCAAGTCACTGAGTCTTACAACCCGATACATCCAGTCGCCGCTTACAACAGCATAGGATTGAGTGAGTGGAGTTTTGGCACCGCTCTATACGGTATGCTAGCTATATCAGGACGTGCAAGCTTAATATAGACAAACTTTATGGATTACAACTTCTTTATTTCGTGAGACAACGGCTCATTCCTGCTTGACAGCGGTACAAGAATCGGTATCGAAACAGCGCACTCACGAAATAAATAAGTTGCAATCCATGAAGTTTGTCTATATTGTACACTTTGGTGAAAACCACGAGTAGATCCCCAGGTTAGTCAGGAATATTCAAACTTATGACATGAAACTCTCATGGATAACAACTTTATCGATCGTAAAATGTGTCAGGATCATTTCAAGCAAATAGATGAATGTCGAAGAAGGAACCCATGACATATTACGAACCATAAAGAAAAAGAAATTGTTCTCCATAAAATTGCCTTCATGTTCACTCAGGCTCTAAATGCCAATCGAAGACTTCAATAGTCAAGTTATTACACACCCTCTATATCTCCGGTGCTCGCATTCCGGTAAACCTACACTTACCCATAGATCCATATCCGTGGTTCTCGCTATCTTAAATTACCGTCTGAATGACACAGTAATGAATCCCCTGGGATTTAATACCTGACGCTTCTCGAATACATTTAACCGACCGTTAAAAGATGCAATTTAATAAATAATGATTCCAACTTTTGGGAGAAACCCAAAGTAACTTTTTAAAGTGTAATGGTCGCTTCTTTTTGTCATGTTGTTGGGTTATTCATTGTGGAACAGTGTTTAAAGTGTGTTTCTGGTGCCATTCGTAGGTTGGGCGTGGGCGTGGGCGTGGGCGTGGGCGTGGGTGTGGGTGTGTTGTGGGGGTGCTGGACTAGTGGTGTGCTATATTTAGACTTGTCTTATATTTAGACTGAGAGAAGACAGTAATAGGTAGTAGAAGTCTTTTAACAAGGGGCGTATTATTTCTCACATTACTAGAAGATCTGTACTTCTGTGACGATCACTTTCACCCTGGACACTCAGCCAAGGCCTACTTTAGAAGCTTTACCACTGTTGCAGTGAGGCCAATATTATCATCACTATCTTTATTTTTGTAATTACTGTTTTAACACTATATGGCGTTGTACATTTGTACTGCTTCTGCATTTAGGGAAGGATAACAATATATGGATGAACAACGTCTTTATTGATGTGACAGCGACGTTTCGGTGTAGGTTCTGACACCGTTATCAAGGAAGGATAACAATATATGGATGAACAACGTCTCTATTGCTGTGACAGCGACGTTTCGGTGTAGGTTCTAACACCGTTATCAAGGAAGGATAACAATATATGGATGAACAACGTCTTTATTGCTGTGACAGCGACGTTTCGTTTCGTTATCAAGGAAGGATAACAATATATGGATGAACAACGTCTTTATTTCTGACAGCGACGTTTCGGTGTATCTAACAGTTATCAAGGATAACAATATATGGACGAACAACGTCTTTATTGCTGTGACAGCGACGTTTCGGTGTAGGTTCTAACACCGTTATCAAGGAAGGATAACAATATATGGACGAACAACGTCTCTATTGCTGTGACAGCGACGTTTCGGTGTAGGTTCTAACACGGTTATCAAGGAAGGATAACAATATATGGATGAACAACGTCTCTATTGCTGTGACAGCGACGTTTCGGTGTAGGTTCTAACACCGTTATCAAGGAAGGATAACAATAATGGACGAACAATATAGCGACGTTTCGGTGTAGGTTCTAACACCGTTATCAAGGAAGGATAACAATATATGGATGAACAACGTCTCTATTGCTGTGACAGCGACGTTTCGGTGTAGGTTCTAACACGGTTATCAAGGAAGGATAACAATATATGGATGAACAACGTCTTTATTGCTGTGACAGCGACGTTTCGGTGTAGGTTCTAACACCGTTATCAAGGAAGGATAACAATATATGGACGAACAACGTCTTTATTGCTGTTCGAACAAGCTGTGACAGCGACGTTTCGGTGTAGGTTCTAACACCGTTATCAAGGAAGGATAACAATATATGGATGAACAACGTCTTTATTGCTGTGACAGCGACGTTTCGGTGTAGGTTCTAACACCGTTATCAAGGAAGGATAACAATATATGGATGAACAACGTCTTTATTGCTGTGACAGCGACGTTTCGGTGTAGGCAATAAAGAAGTTGTTCATCCATATATTGTTATCCTTCCTTACTGCTCCAACTTCTAAATGCCTCTCAAAGAAGTTACTTCTGCATTTGTACTTCCAGTCTATTTGTACTGCCATTGTAGTTCCTTTAAAGTGTTTGACTTGTACTGGTTTATGAACGTAGTAACTTTTTGAATACAGTTATGAAATCTAACACATTTATTTGTTGTTTGGTAGTTCACAGCAAATCCTTTCAAGCACTGATTTTCAGCAGACTTCTTGTTTCTAAATTTTATTTCCGAATCCCTGTTACAGTCTAGACTCAGAAAGAGGGAACCACTCAGTCAGAAGATGAGCAGCAATCTAATGGGATACCATTCTCGATAATCTCCAGGGTATACGTTTCGATAAATCTCCACTATACCCTGGATGCATCTACGGCTCGAGCCGATAATTTTATTACCTCCCTTAGATGCATCCAGGGTATAGTGGAGATTTATCGGTACGTATACCCTGGAGATTATCGAGAATGATGGGATACAGGCGTAAATATTTTACGAAACAAGACAAACCACTCACTGACCATTCACACAAACACAAGATTATTTCTAATTATCAAACAAATTAATTAAGAATATAATTAGTTCAGTCGTCTTTGTATAAGCATGATACAAGAGTCATTTAGAATATAATTCCGTGTTACAGCTTTTGTTAAAGAATATACATTTTTCAGTACTCCATCTCCATCTCCATCTCAACTCACTTCTGAACTGAAAAATATTGTTTCTAAATTTGGGAATCAACACGTGACACTTTTGAAACTTACAAAACGCGATCGGAGATGAACGAACGATTAGACGAAGACAATCCAGCGAAGGACACATTTCATCGTCACGACAGTGCTGACTGAATCTTTGCCAATTTAAGACATGTCTGTGCTGAAATAGCATTCGAACAATATCTCGCAGACGGAGAATGATTATAACGCCACAGGGCTGATGATGTTTCTTAAAGGACGGTGTCCACTAAATGTCAAACCCAACGTCACTTTGCAGGGCAATGAGGCTTCAGCTTCGCAAATTCAAATTGAATATTTGAAACTTGATATTCTTTGGTAATATATTAAACAATATTTTGTTTATATTACAGATGACAAACCATTGATGCTCCTTTATCATTTGGAAAAAAGTACATGTGCTCATTGTGCTGGGGAAACTATGTGTCACAATATAGGAGACAAAACTCTCAGAAACAAAAGTGTGTGTGTGTGTGTGTGTGTGTGTGTGTGTGTGTGTGTGTGTGTGTGTGTGTGTGTGTGTGTGTGTGTGTGTGTGTGTGTGTGTTGTGTTTGTTTGTTGTATACGGCGATTCAAGATTTATTTGTTTGCGGTAAGGGACGGCGGGGGTAGCCTAGTGGTTAAAGCGATGAATTTCGCGCGTCACGCAGAAGACCTAGGTTCGATTCCCACATGTATACAATGTGTGAAGCCCTTTTCTGGTGTCCACCGCCGTGATATTGCTGAAATAGACAACTCCTTCACCTGTGTCTCCTCTTCACATCTTGTTGGAGGAACTAACCCAATAACGACTTGGGCTTGGCCAAACGGCCGCTCTTACCTCCAGCAAACGCGATTAGAGATATACCGAATCAAAGCTCTGAAACAATTTTTACCAGCAATCCTATGTTTCGATCAGGCTGTCCATGAACCTCAGGTAGCGGACATAAAATATCTGCTGCTGACGCACATGTACTTGAGAAACGATTCTTCAAAGCATTGTGGTCAATCAGCTTCTCTGTAGGCTTGAGGTTCATTTATTTTTCTAGGATGGGATGTTTGCAAGTTTCTCTAAAATGTGAAGCACACTCTTGTAGTTATAATCTTCTATTTCCTTGAGTTGGTATTGCTCAAATGCAAACCATATCTCCAGCGAGGGACATTCATCAGCCGACTTTATAAGTATCAAATCCCAGGCATTTATTTTTGATAATCCGGGAGATACTGTAACATCCCCATATATGATTTAACCCCACTGGAAAACAATAGGAGACGTTTCTGAAATGCCTGAAATGCCTATAAAGCCTTTAATCTGTTTAACAGATGCCTAACAGCTTAACATCGTATTTACTAACTGACCGGTAGATTAAGCGATATATCACCCTCCTTAGCCATCAGTCTCTTCTACAGGTGAAATATAGCATACCGAGGTGACCGGGTTTGTCAAACGGAGCGAATGGAACTTGTGCATTGCTACAGAGCAGCTCCTGATGCAAATCTAGCACTAACCTTTCCTGTTCATAATTAAGCCGCTCTCTCCCAACAGAATCACTTTCCTGAAATAATGGAGTATCTGACACGGGAATCGATTAAGGGAAATAGTGATGAGGGTGATTATGCTATCCGATTCCTTCATAGGACTGATGCAAGGATAAACAGGTGATAGACTCGCTGCAGGCAACACCTGATATTATCTGTTCTCATTGTGATAAATGAATCTAATCTACTCCATGTACAGGGAAAGAGCTCGACAAGTTAAATACCCACGGAGTAACCAGACTGATTCATTGCCTCATTGCGTTGTTGCTTGTGTTTGTCACATGAAATTAGTCTGTAGCAAATACTAGTTTGTGGCCCGTAAGTCAAGGGATTCTA